TAAGCAAACCAGCAGGAAAGAGAAAAGGCAGCTTAACAGAGAAAGGTTGGAGAGGGGAAAGGGCCAGCACACCTGAACTAAGAGGGCAACAAAGGTCAGAGGCACAGACAGGAGAGAATCTGTCCTGCTACTAGCAGTTCTTTTCATCAGCCCCTAAGAGGAGGGATGAGGTTACACCTGACCTTTGGGGGCACACATGCAGCTTTGACTGATTTCAAATGGCAGGATTTGGTCCCTTATCTCCAGCAAGAGCCAATTCAGGCAGCACAGGAAAACCTGCAAATGCAAACTCAAGTAGGGGAAAGGGGCACAGCCTTTGAATCCCAGTACAGCGTGTTGATTCCATTGGTAGCATTTCAAGCGCTTTTGTAATACGACACAAAAGCATTCAACTGTCTATTCGTTCCTTGTTTTCCCAAAAACTAGACCCAGAGTCCAGGCAGGCTCATTGGCTCTTGCCAGCTCAGCTTGGAACCTGCTCACCAGCCAATTTTAACAGTGATGCCTACGAGCACTAAAGAGGGGTCCTGGCTGCAGCAATTGGTGACAAAACCTCCACCTCACTGTTTTTTCTCATTGCTGACATCTGGATTAAAGCAGGTTGCCCAGCTTCTTCACTGTCAACCTGCTTGTATCGGCACTTGTGGGCATGTACTTGCCTCTGTGTTACAAAGTACAACACTGGAAAGGCAGAGGACTATTCCCTTCTGTTGAGTCTAGTGGGGCGGGGGAGGGTCTGTTCTCTACATAATACCCAATATGCAGCCTGATTACTTGGCCAATCAGAGTAAACACGCAAGAGCCCTGCTAGACCATATTGCAGGCACTTCAAGCCTTATACCCTGCTTTAATTACAGTTCATGAATTGTATTAGGAATGGGTGCAGGAAAATCTGCTAACACTGTATACAGAGCTGCTTTATTTTGTCACCAAAGTTACTGGCAGACTGGCGAGCTTGGCTTGTTTAGCCTAGCAAAAAGAAGGCTGAGAGGGGATATTATTGCTCTCTGTAGCTACATTAGTGGGAGAAGGTAACTACTAGGGAGGGTGAAGAGCTATTTAAGATAGACAACAATGCTGGCACAAAAAACCCGATGTAAACTGGCCATGAAGAAATTCAGACTGGAAATTCAAAGTAGGGCTTTAATGATCAGAGGGGTAAAGTTCTGGAACTGTCTCCCAATAGGAGTTGTGGGGGCAAACAACTTTGAGAGAGAGCTGGCAGATTTATGAGTGCAGCTGTATGTCAGGGTTGCGTGTGGTGGTGGTGGGGCAGGGCTCAATAGCCCTCAGGATTATGTGGTTTACATCTTATTTTCCTGAAACTCATGCTTTAGGATTTCAGCTCCCCATCAGCACAGGGCAGGAAGGAATCTATTCCGCTCCCCCATGTATTCTGGAGGGATTTTTTTTTATATGCTTCCTCTGAAGCATCAGGGATGGCTACAGCTGGAGATGGGATGTTGGACAGGGAGGGCCAGTGCTCAGAGGTGGCACTGAGCAGTCTCCCTCAGGTGCTTGGTTTGCTGGTTTTTGCTCACATGCTCAGAGTCTGATTGCCATATATGGGGGCCAGGAAGGCACTTCCCCCCACCTCCATCTGGCAGTGACCTTTGGGTGTTTTTTTTGCCTTCCTCTGCAGTGAGAGGGTATGGTCACTTTCCAAGATCATCTGTGTGTATATCTCAAACATTTTCCCTGCTGTTGCAGGGACCTCGATCCTTCCTACTTTCTCCAGCCCCATGACACCACAGTCTAGCCTCTTGAGAGGCTGAAATACTTTGGTCTAATTTCTGTTGTTGGGTTTAGTGTGGGGGTGCTGGGTGATGTTGTATGGTCGGACTGGATGACCTGGTAGGCCCTTCTGGCCCTAAACTCTATGAATGCCAAATTGGTACTGTTTAGAAAAAGAAAAATTTTAAATGTCTACTGGGGTGAAAATCCACCAAGTGCAGATGGCCAATGTACTCCATTTAAGACTCATGGTGGGGTTGTATTTGGGGTGAGGGACTGGGGAAGAGGCTACGGGCTCCATTGTTCTAAGGAGTGAGGAAAAGAGAAGGTAGCTGCCATGCTATTCCACTAGAATAACAGCTTTGCAGTCTGGCCCAAGTCAGGGGTGGATTTCTGCTCCGCAAACTCTCTGCACTTCACCTCATAAAGCCCAGTGACTTGGACTTTGAGTGAATTTTCCCCAGCACAATATGCTAGAGGCTCATTTTGCCTGTGACGGGAATGGCACTAATCAGTACTGATTTACATTTTAAAATAGCAGTTGCCAGATGGCCACACTTATCCCAGGATGTCCCCTATTGTTCGCACCATGTCATTTACTTGTACTAAATGTTAGGTGTCTCTGTTATGTCTGTATACTTATGTATGGCTGAAACTTCATTTCCAAAATGCAGCATACCTTTACAATTCCAGTTAGCTGTGACTTAGTTCACGTTGGTTAGTGTCCTTCAACCAGCACTCAGAGCTGAACCCCAATGATTTTAGGCCTGAGACAGAGCCAAAATCCAAGGCCTGTTCGGCAAAGATGGCAAAAATCTGTGAAACTGGACAATTGGGACATTTATGCTCTTCTGTGTCAAAACTGCATAATACTACAATCCATCTAAAATTAAACCAAATGCTTAGCAGCCTTGAACTACAACTGAATCCTGGCCTAAACCCATTCCCAACCCTACTGAAGTTCAAGCTGAATGCCACACCCCTAAACCAAATTAAAATTTTTATTAAAGCTAATGTTAAAAAACTTATGTAATACATAGGTTGAGAGAAGAGTGTCTGTACATCTGGGTATAGTGCTTAGATAAATACAGAGTTTGTTTTTAAAAGTCATATGATACACAGAGTACGTAATCCTCAATAACCCAAATGTAGGTGAATACACTAACCCTAAACCAAAGCCTAACCAGAATCTTGCACTTCTCACTAAACACTCAGTGGAACCCCAAACTCCATCCGGCTCCAAACCTGCCTAGGCTATTTGTTTCTAGTCTCTTCCATTCCCCTCAGCTCTTCTGCAAATTTCTGATTTTTTTCCTTTTAAATCACAGTGGTTTTGTGATAGCCTACCTAGTTATTGATTTAATTAAAGCTCTCATACCCAGCTTTTCTTAGGTGAAAGAGCTGCAGCCTTACCTCAGGAGGCCCTTTGAGAACAAACACTAACATACACTGCAAGACAATGAGCAAAGGCAGTGTCCTGTTAACTGGTATCTACGGATGCTCAATAACCCCTCCCCGCCACCCCAAAAAACCCCAGAATTTTGCTTTTAAAGATGTTATTTACGTTGTGGCAATGGACACTAAAATGAATACCTGTGTGCCAAAAGCTGCATTTATCCCATCAGTGTTTATTTAATTCATCTTCACAGAGCATAAAACGAAAAAAACAAGTAATGCCTTAAGCTAGGATGATGTTCAAATACGTACCCTACTCTTTTCACCTTCCTATTCGTTCTTCCCTCTCTTTCACACACATACACAGAGCAGCCCATTAGAGTGAATTGGTTCTTTTTGGGAACATTCTGTTCCCTCTCTTTGTCCCTCACTCAGATACAGTGCTGTACGGTAGCTCTTTACGGTAGAGCTAGGCAAACACAGCTAAACTATACTGCAAATACTCTTGCTGATAAAGAATGAATTGGCTACGGCTGGCAGCCTTTTGGTTTTGCTGTCTGTGATGGTTTTACTTGCAGGACTGTTAGCACAAACAGCAAATATTGGAGAATTCTCACATAATCCAAATGTTCATTATTTCAATAATGAATATATTTGAGAAAAGAGTTTCTCACTGACAACTTGTGTCAGAAAGAGGCTATATTCATTAGATAATTTATTCATGCTGCATGTAAGTGTTTACATAATAAAGTGGTTTTAAAAAATAAGGGAGTCCTTCCACTGAGTTTTGCAGTAAGCAAGGAGTGATTGAGTGATTTTCCCCCTTACCTATAACAAACCAAAACCATGGCAAGGGTGGGTTCCCCCTATCCCATCCCACATACACATTTTATTTAATCAGCACACACCTTCCTAGATAGTTGTGTGGAACAAATAGGAACAATAATAGAGGAAAATGAAAATTTCATAAGAGAAGTTTATGGAAAAAACTTTTAAGCAGCCTAATTTATTCTGTGTTTGAGACAACTGCATTTCCCTTTAAAAAACAGGTAATAATAAGATAGCGCGATGCTGAACTGCACTGCAGGCTAGTTTCATTGCAACAAAGAATCATCTTTGAACTCTATCGCATGAGTGTCAGAGGCAGAAAATCAATTACATTTGGAAAGAATGGGACTTGGAGTTGCAGAGTTCCTGCTGTCGTCAGTAAGAAACTATTAACACATATTATACTAGGCCATTTGGAGAGATTCCCGTCAGAAACATTCAAGGCAAATAAAATAAACCTTTAACATTTTATTGCTGAACAGCAGAAAATACAGCTTTGCTTATACCATACAGTCAGATCTGACGTAAACTCACGTGTGTGTATAAACTTTGGGGAATGTTTTCAATACAAAACAGATAGGTCATTCTGGAAAAAACCCTCAAGCATATGGTGTTGCAGGAAGGGTCAGATCCTGCTCCCATGGACATAAATGGTGCAACTTCCATGTGCTTTGAGTAGGATTGGACTGAATCTTTGAGGCCTTCTATTAAAAAAAAGTAAAGGCTTGTCTACACTAGAAGGGCTACAGAGGCACAGCTGTACCTACCATGAGAGGCAGCAGCTATGTCGGTGGGAGAACTTCTCCCACCAACATAGAGCTGTCCACGGCAGCACTTAGGTTAGTGTAACTTACGTTGCTCAGGAGAGTGGCTTATTCCCACCCCTAAGCGACATAAGTTATACCGACATATCCTGTAGCGTAGACAAGCCCTATGATTCACCCATGTAGAGGACCCACAAGCAGCTCTCTCCACTGGTGTGAATTTCACCCCGACTGAGCACACCTTGTCTTTTACTTCTGTAATAAAGAGGATCACTGTAGTATTTTTAATGCACATCTTTTAATATACTGCAGCAGGTTCCATGATCACATGTGTTTTCAGTTTCTCCTAACATACATATTACAAATGAATTAATTATACAGAGCCTTTGGTGTGAATTACACTTGAATGTATATTCTCTATCATCCAAATACTATGTCAATGCCATTCTCTTCAATAGCGAATGCTCAAAAACAGTCTCTCCCTTTGGGTTTTTTGATTTGTTTTGTAAGTGAAAGAATTCACAGCTCGGTGGATAAGGATTCAGAATGGCGCTCTCCGGAGTGCTTTCCATCTTCAGGTGGTTTGGACATACGCTGCATAAAAGAGGAAGAGAATGCCATATGTTAAAAGGCAGTTTTGCTTGGACCCCATTGTATGCATGTACAGTATGTATACATGTACAGCTTGTCTCTTTAATCTGGTTTTCATCATTGCCTGCTTCAGCAGTGGCACAATGTCACATTAAAGTCAGAAGAAAAATCATGGGCCAAATCCTGAAGGTTTTTCTTTTTAATAAGGCCCTAATAGTGCAAAGCCTTATGCATAACCTTACCCATGTGAGTGATCCCCGAGTTACAGACATGACTAAGTCATTGTAGGATGGAGCTCTAAACTTTTTTTAAGTCCTGCTTGGGCTTGTAAACAGGGTTCGTTTGTTTGTTGTCCTTCTCACTTTGGGTGAAACCACAATGTAAAGCTGATTCACATGTACAGTTCACTGCCTTTGTGAGACAAATGTAATATCAACAAAACCCCAGAGACTCCAAATTAAGTTATTTTACTCTCCCTCCTATCAGGAAGAAATAAGCTAGAAAACATTTAAACACAGGTTTCTCAAATGCTGTATTACTTTCCCAGAAAACAGCAAGCTTTTTAAAGTAAAAGCTTTTCCTTTTTAAAGCACAGTAGGGACAAAAGGATGGAAATGAAATCAGTGCAACACACACACTCTTTGTAAAGTATCAGCAGAGAGCTGATGGGTGTAAAATATTATGGATGTCACAGAATGCTCCTTCACTAAGAATATCACTGACTTCTGGCACCTCTATCAAATACAACCTTCTGACACCTGTAGGACTCCTTTACAGGGCACATTGCATTTTCAAGGCAAATTTAGACACTTCCGATCTTAGTATATAAGATATAAACTATTTGTTGTTAACTGACATTGGGCCAAATTCTGTGAGGTTTTTTTTTTTTTTTTTTAATTGTTCAAAACTGTCCAAATCAATAGGGGTTTGAGCACAAATTGCTTCAGGGAGCTCAGCTGATTTTACTGTGAGACAAATTCTACCTTCAGATGGGCATGTATCTGAGGACAGATTTTGACCCATCCTGTGTACGGTAACATACTTTGCACTACAGGCTATTAGCAACTATTGTGATGCTATGAGCCAGCTGCCCAATTTAAGTTTAAAAATTCAACAGGTAATTGTTTTGCCATTAGGATGTTGCATAAATCAGACTAGAAAAAAGCTGTAGATCAAATGAGACCTCTTGTGGTATGGCTAGAGAACTGCATCTCTCACTCCCCCTTTAGCCTGGAAAATGTATGGATATCAGAAAATTAAGTAAGAGAAAATAAAACTTCGGGTAAGTTTCTGTTCCACAGAGGCCTCTTGCTTTTAAAACCCTGTGTTACATTTTACTTTCACACTTGGAGTTTATTTGGGCTTTTTTTTTATACCAATGCATTTTTGGGGTTTTTTTAGTAAAGCGATCCGTCCTCCTTTTTACACGCGTACATACACAACACTTACTTTTGTTTTAAAGAACTGGTTCACTCTCTTTTTTTTAATGGTCTTCTTATCTCCCTCTGAAGTAGAGGGAAAAATTTGCTGGCTTAGCCTTTGTGATGCATTTGTTTCGTCAGGAGCTGGGGTGCAGACTACTGACAGAGTTAACCCTTGAAAGAGAAACAAATGATTGGTTGTTAAGAAAGAGTTATACAAAGTGCGACACAAGGCAGAGCTTACAATCATGAATTCTTACAATTCCAAAGGAAAGGTAAGATGTTTTAGTCTAATCATGACTCTTGCAATGCAGCATAGGGAGAAACTAGCTTGCCTGGGGCTGGGTTTGGTTACAGTTACATTTAAACTGTATACAGAACAGTCACTGGGCCTGAATCTGCTTTCACTAAAACTGATTCTCTATTGATTTTTGTAACTCCATTGCTTGCGGCTGAGTCCCGCCTGATTTGCCCTGGTACAAATGGAAGAAGACTGAGAGTCGCTATTCTAAATTACTTACCCAGGCAGAAGGCAAGTTCCTCCTGTGGGTATATTTTAAATAGGCATTAGTATTACTGGGAAAAGGCTAGGCTTTATTTTAGGAAAATATTGCATCTATCAATAGCCCAAGGTCTGCTCATGGGCTAAATAAACTAACACATCTGCATTAATCATACCCAGCACATCTACCTCTTCAAGCAAAGAGATGAGGGGGCAGAGTGTACACTGTAAACTGCTGAGTAAGAAGAGCTTGTTTACACTCATCTTTACTCCAGAGAAACTTCCCACCATTGCTACCACTGGTTGAGCTCCACCGGAGGCAGCAGCAATGGGAGAGCGAGTCTGTTCGACCACTGTGTTATTTAGACGAGTTCTGTACAGGATTTGAAAACGGGGGGTAGAAATGCCAGCATTAACTAGAAACTATTTTTGAAAAACAAAAACTTGTTTTTAGTTTTGGCCTTTTGTTGAAAAAAACGTTTGCAGGAAATTTGGAAGGAAACAGCCTGATTTTTTTTTTAAAGACATTTTCCCCCAAAATAACTGGCTTTTTTCCAACCAGCTCTCCTGGGCACCTGTCAGGATAAGGGCTTAGCCATCCAGAGGGTCCTGTCACCTCTATGTAGCCAGCCACACAAACATGTGTGAAGTGGAAGGTACAGCCAGACGCTGGTGGGAGCAGTGTTCACCTCTGCTGTGAACAAATCTGATCAACATGAAAAATAAACAATAGGGAAGACAGTCCAAAGGAAGTGAGCATTGCAGATTGTTTTTTAAAATAGCATTAGGACCTATTTCATTCAAGTTTTCACCCAGCTTTACCAGAAGGGGATATTCTTCACTAGGCAGCCAGAATTATGCGCTGTGCGTGACTGCACTTGTTCTCTCTGACCCTCGCATTGCATGTGATGGTTGGAGTTGGTAGTGGCCCAGCCCTAATGGCCAGGATTAATAAGTAAATCAATGCTGCTGGGAGCACAGCCCCCCTTGCCCCTCTCCTCACCAGAGTGATGGTCCAAAGGGCCACCCCTTGCAGGGAAGAGCATGTCTAGCAACAGTCCTCCCCTGCAGCAGGAGAGCAAAGGCCCATGGTTAGTTTTCACAGACAGTGAAGCTCTGCTGTTCTCCCAGCCCTTCTAATTCCCCTGTGTGACGGATACATTTATTTTCCCCTCCCTACAGGAAAATTTTGGCTGAAGGGGCTTTTCTTTGCATCTTCTGCCTACCTATTTCAAAGAATAGACATGGGTGTCTGTTCCCTCCCTTCCTGCTGACTCCCTCAGAGGTGGCAACTTTAGCAGGGCCTGCTCTGGCTCTCCATTACTATAGGACTTCACAGTACTGCGATGGTACCCTGCTCATAAAACTGCTGGCTGTCGGTCTCACCTGCCACACAACTACCAGAAAGACACTCTTCCACGGCCAGGCTGTCACTGGCTGTTTCCCTCAGGGAATCTCACATCAGATGTCAATAGCAGGGGGCTGGGCAATATTCACGTTGGGGCCCCTGCACAGACACACACATCTTTCCCCATCTGTGAGATGCTGCATCTCCATTGGGCACAATTACTGATCTCAACCATTGGCCTTTTTCGCCTCAAAAGCAGGGGACAGAGCAATCCTTTCATGCCTTTTTGATTCCTGCCGCATTCTGCTCTTGGACACACTGTGGAAATGTCTCCTTTCCATAAATAAGGGCATACACGGCTGGGAAAGTCAATGGACCTTGGCTCCATGGGAGCCCTGGAAGACAAGGTTTCTTGGAGGTTTGGTTCCTTATTGTGCTGCTGTGCAGGGAAAGAGGAACTAATGCTAGTCAGTGTTTAGCCTGCAGCCCTTTATGGTGCAGTCAGATGGTAATTTAATAAGAAATCTGTGGTTCTGCACTGAATTTTTTTTAGCCAATGGACTTATTCCAGATTCAGCCTGAGGTAATTCCCCTGTGATGCCATAGATGGAGTTATGGCCTCCGAGACTTTTTCTGTTACACCATTTAAATACAACAACAGGAATAATCTGGGCGAGTTAGATTAGTATTGAATATGAGGAGGCATTTTCCTTATCTGAGGGGAGGCTGGGCCCCTGAGGATTTTTCAAAGCAATACTTTACATTGTAGTTGTTAAATTTCCCAGAATTTACATAATACCTCATCAGCATAATGCGTGAGTTATCCTGTTTTAAGGCCTGTATCACCATGGCATAGCATTTAAGTGTTGTCCTCGTCAACTCTATTTCAACCCTAAACGCTTCCTAAAATCCAAATTCTTCCACAGCATGAAGAACAAAAAACTCACGTTTTTTTTTTTTAAATCTAAATGAAAAGCAGGCAAAGAGTGCAGCACTCTAATTCTCTTACTATAGGTTTCAGAGGAACAGCCGTGTTAGTCTGTATTCGCAAAAAGAAAAGGAGTACTTGTGGCACCTTAGAGACTAACCAATTTATTTGAGCATGAGCTTTCGTGAGCTCATAATTTCGTGATGAAGTTAGCTGTAGCTCACGAAAGCTCATGCTCAAATAAATTGGTTAGTCTCTAAGGTGCCACAAGTACTCCTTTTCTCTTACTATAATTATCTTACCTGGTATAGTTGGCATAGAACGACTGGCAAAGCTCATTTGCTTGAGAACAGATGTTTTCTGAGGTGCTACCAGATGTTCAGAGAGGTTGGTGTCGCTCATAAACTCGTATTTCCTTGACAGCTATATATTAACAAATGCAAAATTTTTACCATCAGTGTTTAACGCAGATATAACGAATAGTAGTGAGTTAAGCAAAATTAACAATTTATATGAGAGAGACAACCATGGCCTGGTTCTGTTACCTTTACTCACAGTGAATAATGCCTTATTACAGTGATTTCAGTGGGATTATTCGTGAAGTAAGATACTACTCAAAGTGATCAAAAGTAACAGAATTTGGCCCTCGGAGACTTGAAAGGTACAACTTCCTAAGCAAATGTTCTGGAGCTGATTTATAGTAAGAGAATCTGCTTATTCCACAGACTGAGAAGACCCCTAAACCTCTAAAACTGACAAGACAATACTTTGTAGGCTATCTAGGATTGTGTGATAGTGTTCCTACCACATATAGAGTAATATTGTCATCAACCCAGACTGTGGATCGGAAAGTAAAATGAGACTGTGAAGAACTGGTTTCCCTACAGCGTTAATGCTGTCAGTTTAGGTGCTAGAAGAGACATGCCGCTTTTATAACTTGAGTCAAAAACATATGTATTTTACAAAAGGTCCACTTTTTCATATAAAAAACAGACTTTTTGCACTGGATGAATTATTCCTTCACCGATGAGCAGTGACCACTTCTTTACAGTTTGCAGTTTATTGAGGGGAAGACACTGTAGCTGTAGATATTTTTTTTTCTTTTAAAACTTGCTGTCCTGCTATAAAGTTCTCTCTTCTCAAGATCATAATTCTGAAGTGAAAGAGCATTAAAATGTTAGGTCTAAAAATGGAAATGCATCCCTCACCCAGACCAGTCCTTAAAGAAAATAGAAAAAAGGCAATTTCCTTTTGCCTGCCAAATAAACAGTCTGTTTATATTACCGAAACTGATGGTGCACTGAAAAGCTTTGCATCTACCAAGACTACAATTATAAAGGTTCTCTGTTTCTGCTGCAAATACTTTTGCTATTTCCCATGCAACAAAACCAGAATATTTTTGTCCTATTTTTAACAGCTGCTGCTGTTTTAAAGCGCTCCCTTGTTGCTCCTAGTCGGAAACATTGCCTACTTAGCCAAGTTTTGGAGGAAGCATTACCAGGGATTGTTAACTTTGGTGCAAGAAGCAATGCTTCCAGCTTTTGTTTTTGGCACTAAGCAATTGAGTTTTTAATTCTTTCCGTAAAAAATAAAAATTTACATGCTGTCATCTTTTTGTACAGATTTTGCTTATACCTGATTTTCTTCAAGTTCACAGCTGTGCATTCTTTGTGTGAACAGAAATACTAATTTTGTATGGCCAAATTTGACATATTTTATGTGTGTGGGGGGGGATGGAGGGAGGGGGCGGAAACTGTTATTGAGACTCAAGCTAAGTGGCTGGGAAATAGAGGCATGCTAATGCCAAAGGACAGCGAAACCCATGGTAAAGGCTGTTCACAGTGGGCCTAGAGCTGGCTCCAGAGCATCAGGTACATTGGGACACCGAACCATTACTAAAAACAGTTTTCAGCAAAGCAGTGCCATTCAAAGTGGGATTAAAAACACTTGAATACTATGGACAAAGGCTTCTCTCTGGCCATGTCTATACTACAGCTCTAAGAGAACCTATGTTAGGTCAAATTTCAGCCACCACAGTAATTACTTCTGTAATTACTTGGTGCACATCCTCACCAACAGCTCTTCCACCGACTGAAGAGGGGCAGCCAGGGGGGCTGAGAGCCAGGGTTCTCAGCTTCCCACCAGGAGCTGGGAGCTGCCCCCGAGGCTTCTCAGCTCCCTGAGCGGGAAGCCTCCAGTCAGCAGCCCAGCTGGGAGTGGGGAGCTCTAGCTGCCCAGCTTTCTTGTCAATTTCACAGCTCCAGAAATGATGTAAGTAACGCAGTGTCTACACAGACACCCTGTTGCGCTAACTAGACCGACATAAGCACTATGTCTCTCATGGAGTTATCGTGTCGGTGTAGTAGCACACTTACATCAGCGTGACAAGGCTGTAGTGTGTACGCTGACATAATTAGGTCAACACAAGCTGCCTTACGTGCACCTAGCTGTGCAGTCTAGACCAGACCTCTTTGTGTGAGGCTAGGTCATACCCTGACTTCTGTATCTCTGTCCACCAGGATTGTATATGCATGAGAGCCAAACTCAGCCATCAGGGAGGTCTATAATGCTACATGTGATAAGATTCAAGGTGTGGCTTATGGTCAGAGGGGTGGCTATTCGTGGTTATCTCTGTATTATTTATGTCTCTCCAGTTAACGAAGCTGAAGCCAAAATGCCCAGTTTACACCTTTATAGTGTGGCACGTCCTCGTCCGCAGTGCACAGTGTGTAATGCTAGTGATATCATCAGTGTGCCAAAACACAGAACTTGGCTTCCAGCAAATGAATAAAGAAGGAAACAATTCTTAATTAATTGATTTTAAAACTTAGGTGTTCATCATTTTTAAGTGCACATGTAAAACAAATTCATCCCTAGTTGGGCTCCATTAGTCAGAGCCGTGACAGCAGCAATGAATTAGGCTATGGTCTCTGAAAGGGATCTTAAACAGCTTTATCCATAAGGGCAAATAATTCCACTTGTCTTTAACGATTCTTCCAAAAGATTTTTGATCAAATGACATATGCTCTGACCTCCTTGTTCAGCTCAGTGATTGCCTACCACTTGTATTTAGACAGGGCTTCTGTAGCTAAACCTTCAAGAGTTTTTTGCTTTTAAATTGCCTCTTTTTACACTCAAAAACATTTGGCTCCTGAAGGTGATCTTATAAAAACTGCGTAAGTCATATAAGTCATTCTGATGATCTATTAGTCTGAAAAAGGTACTCAGATGATATATAGGACAAGAGAAAAACCAATGCCTATATGCTCAAATTTGGCACCATTTAAGGAACAGTTTGCAAACTTGCCATTTCCCAGCAGCTGCATGTTCTGGCACAAGGTACAAAATGTGCAGGGTTCATCACTTCTGACATAATCCCCTCTGGAAGAGTGGTACCATCAGGGCCATACAACCACTCGCTTCTCCCCAGGAATGCTATTTTAACCCCCCACACCAAGCATACGATCTTCAGCTGGCCAGGCATCAAAAGTCTGGAATTTCACAGACAGATCCTTAGCTGGTGTGAAATCAGTAGGGAGACACTGATTTACACTAGCTGAGGATCTGGCCCTCAGTCTCTCGCAGGTTTTCTTTTCTGGCAAAGTGATGAGTATTTCACAACACTGGCTCTGAGTGGCCTTTAATAAAACTTGTTGTTTATTTTAACTTCCAGGAGGTGCACAATGTCTTAAAGACATATGCTGAAAATGTCATCCACGATTTGGGGATTATTAGAAAGCATTCTAGGCTGGTAACCTACACATTTCATATCGGAAAGCTCAGGTGCTGTTTTTTCATCTGCAAATACCACGCTGCTTCTTTTTGTTCTCTTCCTGGATCTTCTCAACTTAACCTCAGGTTGAGTGCTTATCTGCAGGACATTTTCTTCTGACTCTGATTTGGTTGGTTTTCGTGGTGCTACTTCCAGTTCAAAGCTGTAGAAAATAGAAATAGAAACAAAACATGCTCCATTACATTATAAAGGCCACCGAAGGTCTCAGGTGGTTTCCTGTGAGACACAAATGCAGTCATGCTCATCCTTTGTTCTGACTTTCTGAACTGTACTGCTGATCACTGTCAAATGAGGAGCACAGTACTGTGTTCTAGCTGGCAACTGTCTACTAACATGTGCCTTACAGTAGGCATCAAAATGTCTTAATGTCAGAGAGATTGTTAAATATTAATCTAAAATGAGCACTTCATAATTTTTATTGCAGAATTAGCTCTAGGGCACCTAAATTATATAGGGACAGAGCTAACATCACATGGTGTATTTTACATGTTTAAATATGTTGCTCTGGTGGCTGGGCACTTTAGGACAGGAGTATTGCCATCCCTTCTCATGCCTCAAGATGTAAACACATCCCCTCTAGCTTCTGGGATAAATTTCTTCATTCCAGTGCAGAGTGACCAGGTACGTGGTGATGAGCTGAACTCCCCTACAATTTTAGGAGGGTGAATGCGGTGGCAACAGTCACAACCAAGACATGTTTACAGTTGAAATATTGGCCACATTTCATTTAAAGAAACAGCATGTGAAATAATAGGTGGACTTAAACGTTCCCTCTTGAACTCTGGTACAAAAATGTACCTTCCTTAGATTAAGTGTGTGACTTCTGAATCAGTGTTTGCAAACAGAGAAAGCAAGGTAAAGTGCTATTGAACGGCTGACACACAGTTGCTAACAGGTATTATTACTTTCTTTTATTATTACAGGAAATAATATTATGGTTATTTTTAATTAAGTCTTTTAGGGTTAAACTCTAAATTGGGAAATGTGCATGCAAGAAGCAAAGGTGTCTTTTAAACAGATGCATTTTTGAGTTCTGACAATATTCTCCGGGTGGTTGTGTTTTTTTGTTTGGTCGCTTAGTTTTGTTTTTTAAAACCAAACAATGTAATATAGTGACAATGTGTAACCAATAACCTATTCAAAGCCCAAAGGTTAGAATAATATACAAAGAGATCTGAAACTGGCAGCAGGTATGGACTAGTTCTCATCTTAGGCTCAACTCAAAGTCTGAGAGAGAAACTAGACAAGAACTACACTCAAGGAAGCATGATGGGGTAAGAGTTTTTCTCGTAAGATGAGAGGTTTTACTAAAGAAGCCTCATCTCCTATCTGACCATTTGTAAAACCTTCCCTTCCCACATGTACCTACAACTTGGAGTTGGGCAGCTTCTGGAGCTCTACACTCCGCCTCCAAGAGTATGTCTGCAAAGTGTGTGGACACAAGCGTCTCAGTCTGGGTTGATAGACTTGGGCTAGCAAGGTTCACGCTAGCACTCTAGAAATAGCCGTGTAGAGAGCACTTTGAAGTTGCAGCTTGGACTGGAGCAACTCCACTGTCCAAACAGCTGTTTTTAGAGCATCCCCAAATTTGTCAACCGGGACTGGGTCCCGCCCAAAAGGACAACAACTATAATAGTCACCAGAGCCCTCTGACACCATTTCCCAGCATGTGTAGAGTCACGGATTGGGAAAGGAGGAAGTAGAAACTCCTGTTGAGGCCAATAGGGAAGCTTTTGCATAGGGTGATCTGGACAAGCAATCCACTGGCTGGATCGCAGAGCCCCCAACTAGGGGACAGCCTGACTCAGGGAGACAGTTCAGTTTCTGTTTTGGAAAATGAATCAGACAGATCAGAGACAGGGAGTACCTTGCTAAATTCCCACTCCCCACAAAAGGGGTTCTTTGCACTGCTGTGAGATCTAGCGGTATGGGTCAGGGAGTTCCAGCACTGCAGTGACCAGCATCCAGCAGAGAGAGAGATCCAACCTGGCACTGGCTATCGAGAGCCAACCAAGACCCTCACAGTATTTCAGACCAGGGAGCCTGATGAAAGCCAGAAGATAACTCTGCCCCACCCAGGAATGAAGAGATAGTAAGAGGACCCTTTGTTTATGCTGGCTAACAATTACAGTGATACAACGCTCTGTTTTAGGACTCAAACACAGCGTGCCACATGCCAGGGATGGAACTGGTGGCTAGGATAAGTGATCAGTGTTGTGAAGTGGGAGACTTGTTTATTTATTAATGTCTAATACTTATTAGTTAACTGTAAGTCTTTCTTTCCCCAGATCCTATTTTCCTATCCCAATGAAGTCACCCTTTGTTATGCCATTATTTTGGGGATGTAACTCTTTTGCTGTGGTTTCAGTTTGTGTACTTTATTACTCCTTTTATAATGGGCTATACACCCTTTGCCAGCTAGCTGTATTGATTTCCTCAAGAGACAGAACTTCTGTGCCTGGCACAGTGAGGAGACATTAGGCACCAGAAAAAGAACTCAGTGCCCAACCCATGTGAGAAGAGGGGGAAAGTAAATGGAGGGGGCCACAACTCAGGGGAGGCGCTACAAACAAAAATGTAAATCAAGCTTACAAACATTTTTCAAACAGAATTTACGAATAAAATAACACCCTCAGCTGTTAAATATTTGTGTAATGATATTCAAAAACCATGTAAGTGCATATAAAATTCTCATTCTCATCTTCATCTCAGATGGGCTTTCTAGAGTATATTATGTCTTTCCCCCTAACAGACGGCACATTATGTGAAATAGTACAGCTCAGCATCTGGAGTAGCCCTGGCTTCAATACAAAGATGATGCTGACATATATTAAGTAGTTGCTATTGATCTGACTGGTTTGGCTGCAGTCTTATGCTTGATCATATGTAACGGGATGAAAACAAGATGTGGTGGTGGCAGCATTTAGTGTGATATTAACGACTTACTTTTCTGAGGCCATTTTGACTGGAGTGCTACAGTCTGAATTCATGGAAGCCAGTGAAATAACTGACATCTGGCGATAAGATCTCAGCATTGACCTCGGCCGACCTACTCTCTTGTCATCGAAATCCGGCTATAGGACAGAAAAGAGAAAAATATACCATGAACAGTCTTTGTGATGCACACTTTATGTCTCCTCACCAGGTTTGGAGGATGGCACAGATGTTCTTGGAGTGGATTTGGAGGAAACCAACCTTGCAGGTCCTCAAGGAATCAATCCTGAAGCACTTACATGAGAGGAAAGTGATCAGGAACAGTCAGCATGGATTCACCAAGGGAAGGTCATGCCTGACTAATCTAATCGCCTTCTATGATGAGATTACTAGTTCTGTGGATGAAGGGAAAGCAGTGGATGTATTGTTTCTTGACTTTAGCAAAGCTTTTGACACGGTCTCCCACAGTATTCTTGTCAGCAAGTTAAAGAAGTACGGGCTGGATGAATGCACTATAAGGTGGGTAGAAAGTTGGCTAGATTGTCGGGCTCAATGAGTAGTGATCAATGGCTCCATGTCTAGTTGGCAGCCGGTGTCAAGTGGAGTGCCCAGGGGTCGGTTCTGGGGCCGGTTTTGTTCAATATCTTCATAAATATCTGAAGGATGGTGTGGATTGCACTCTCAGCAAATTTGCAGATGATACGCTGGAGGGCAGGGATAGGATACAGAGGGACCTAGACAAATTGGAGGATTGGGCCAAAAGAAATCTGATGAGGTTCAATAAGGATAAGTGCACTTAGGACGAAAGAACCCAATGCACAGCTACAGACTAGGGACCGAATGGCTAGGCAGCAGTTCTGCAGAAAAGGACCTAGGGGTGACAGTGGACGAGAAGCTGGATATGAGTCAGCAGTGTGCCCTTGTTGCCAAGAAGGCCAATGGCATTTTGGGATGTATAAGTAGGGGCATAGAGAGCAGATCAAGGGACATGATCGTTCCCCTCTATTCGACATTGGTGAGGCCTCATCTGGAGTACTGTGTCCAGTTTTGGGCCCCACACAACAAGAAGGATGTGGATAAATTGGAGAGAGTCCAGCGAAGGGCAACAAAAATGATTAGGGGTCTGGAACACATGACTTATGAGGAGAGGCTGAGGGAACTGGGATTGTTTAGTCTGCAGAAGAGAAGAATGAGGGGGGATTTGATAGCTGCTTTCAACTACCTGAGAGGTGGTTCTAGAGAGGATGGTTCTAGACTATTCTCAGTGGTAGAAGAGGACAGGACAAGGAGTAATGGTCTCAAGTTGCAGTGGGCGAGGTTTAGGTTGGATATTAGGAAAAACTTCTTCACTAGGAGGGTGGTGAAACACTGGAATGCATTACCTAGGGAGGTGGTAGAATCTTCTTCCTTAGAAGTTTTTAAGGTCAGGCTTGACAAAGCCCTGGCTGGGATGATTTAATTGGGGATTGGTCCTGCTTTGAGCAGGGGGTTGGACTAGATGACCTCCTGAGGTCCCTTCCAACCCTGATATTCTATGATTCTATGAAACAGTTCATTAACTAAGAAGAGTAACCTCATTACCTTGATTTTGTTTAATCTCTCTGGGTATGATCCCAGTCTTAGAACTCTCAAACTAAGTGGTAGAGTGAGAATAAGTGGTCAGGAGAATTGAAACTGTTTTATATTTGAGACACACACACAATGAAAAAAGGGGTTTTGGCTCTGGCTAGAGTCAGACATGATGCAGGGAAGCATTTGTATTGTTTCATCAACTAATTCTGACCAATCCTCACTCCAAACTATTTCTCTAGTCCCAAGCCTGGATGCTGCCTCCTCTCTACGTTTAAGCTTCTCTTCCCCGCCCGCCCCGATGTTTTCATGTTGACTGGCTGAGATTCCTCTCCTTGTAAACTGCAGGTTGAAAACAGGTGCAGCATGACAGGCTGGCCAGATGAGATCAGATCTGGTCACCTTGATTTGCTGTGGTCATAGTGGTTGCTCCATCCATTTCCATTATTTAAATCATGTAAATGACAGGGCCTGAGATGACAAGGTGGGGCATGACTCCAAGTCTCTCTTATCAGACAAGATTGGTCAATGCAATGGGGAAATTGAACTGGCTATTGGCCGCTCATCATTCTTCTTTGTGCTCATGCTGCAGCAAGCTATCAGTTCGTGTGGGGATTATTTCCATGGCAGTGACTTTGACTTCCTCCTTTCTGGTCCCTCATGCTGGTAGGTAGCAGCAAGGTCCATGTTTCTTGGCCAATTCCCAACATAGATCTAAACAGCAGTGTCTGCTCCCATTCTTGAGGGTTGGGTCCAAGGATTCACAATCAAACTGTGTGTTCAGACGTGCCCTCCTCTTTTTCAGCTGAAATATTGCCTCAAGTGAGTTTCGTAAGCGTGAACATTTCCCATTTAGCACATCATTGTAATGGCACAGGTTGAGAAGCATTTCCCAGCACATACCCATTGTGAACTACTTTCCATCCTGCTTTAATAACACAATCATAACTTTAAAAATAAATCCGAGGACCCACCATGTTTGCTAATTACATAATAAAGTTCTTCTTCTGATTGTTCAGATAATGTTAAATCTGTTTGGAAACTGGCGTATAATCTCATATGCTAGACTCCCCGACTGTTGGCTTCTGATGCTGTTGCTTTTCACTAAGACAGCTTCCTCTAGCCAGAGGATCAGAAAATCCATTTATAGTTCCAAAGTTTATTTTCAAACACTTTTCACAGTTTATGTGCAGTGAGAATTGCCTCTCATCCTGTGAGCTCCCAGAGTACTTTGATAACACACAATGGGTGAAGCCACCTTTTAAATAGAAAAAGCTCGCATTAGCAACCTGAAAGAGAATTAGGGATGATGAAACTGAAATGGTGCTCCATTTCAAATTAACTGGCTTTTCTGTATGGGATAAAATGGATGAAATACTGCTATCCACCAACTTTTTTAATTTATGAGAAACTTCCTGAGCAGTAATAAAATAATGTGCTTTGCTGCATTGCGCAACTTTGAATAGAACTGTATTTTGTAACAGCACATTGCATTGTTTTGAAACATGCTGAACCTCAGCTCAGGAAGGGAGCCCAGAATGAGTAAGGGGGAGATGTGCATCTAAGGAGCTATTTCAGGCCCCCTTGAACACTGATCATAAATCTCAGAGATTAAATTAGATAAATAAATTGGTTTATCAATCATCACATTTCATATTACACTGTTGTGACCCCAAGAACCTCTCAATGCCAACTGGATAAAGGGGATTACAAGAATATTCTGATCCTGGCGTGTACATTCTGGTCCACCTGAGTATCATGTACGATCTTAAATGAAAGCCATGTTCAGCTGATCGTTAATATGGCTATGAAATGTATGTACTGATACTATGTAAAAACTTATGTATGTATAATGAAAATATGTTCCTAAAAGTCTGGATCAAGGCAGGATTGACAAACTATGTATTTTCACCTATCTCAGTTCATATGTAGATTAAGCATTGTAAGCCAACAAAATGGAAGCTCTATTTACATACAAAATCAACAGAGACAAGCCACTAGAGAATGAATGACAGGGTAGTCCTGTCTCTGGGGACAGACAATGATCTTTGGGGGATTTAAGGGGAAGGTAAAAAGACATCCCTTTATCCTGCACCTAGAAAGTAAATGGTAGCGTTTACATTCATGAAAAGGGGATCCCAACCAGTCTTGGCTGGAAATGCTGGAAAAGGACATTTTGGTTGAGCTGAACTTAGACTGAAAGTTTAGTCTCTAGAAAACGTGTTGTGATTTTGTTTTCTATGTAACCTTTCTGTCTGCATTATCATTACTCACTATCTCTTAAGTCTTGATACTGAACTTATGATTGTTTTCACTATAAACATATCTCAGTGCTGTGGTATTATTTAAGGAGCTGACCCTGGGTTGATACGTTCAAGTTGGTGGGTATACTGTTCCCTTGCAGACCACATATCTGGTATCATTGTGAGTATTCAGTGGATAAGGGGCTGAACATTACAGGGAGATGTTTCAGAGGGGCTCAGGGACAGGGGTGCACCTATTGTTAACCTGCAAGGCAAAGTAAAGCTGGCATAGCCACCCTAACAATCTCCTGTGGACTAACAGACTGGATGGGCCAGGGAGCTGACACCCAGTTAAGCACAACCAAGTATCTCTCTCAATGGAGGCAGGGGGAAATAACTGACTCTCAGTGCTGGGCATCCCGAGAACTCTCATAACTGTATACTGTGTAGGCCATGGGAATTCTGTCAAACCATGGAAGGCTTGGAAAGGAAATCTTGGTGTGGAGAAGAAGAGGGTTAATCACAAGAACAGTACATTCTATTCTTGCTCTTGTCAAATAAAAATCATACATAGGTTGCTTTTTACTTTTACAAAAGTTGATCCAAATGGCTGTTGAAGGCTTCAACATTTGGCTAGATTGTGGACATTGGGTTGCATCTCTTTCCACATTGTGAGTCTGTCTCCAGTGGACTGAATTATAGGAACAATATTGACATAAATGGCTGGAATTGGCGTTATTCAGGATTATACCATAGGATGATAGCCAGGCTGTAGGGGAGAAGTTTGCCTCACTATGTTTTTTTCCAGTATAACAACTGAATCAACATGTAAAAATTAAAAAATAAATGTATAGCAGGAGCAGCAAAATTTCAATCCCCAAATGATAGGGGTCTAATTTCTGACACCAACAAACAACTGAACTAATGTTCAGATATTTAGACTTGTTTTGCTCCCAGGATTATCTGGGAATAGAAGTAGAGTCACATGGTTGGAATCAGACAAGTGCAGGGAGCTATCTATGGACATCAAGTGTGGATCAAAGCTCAGAGCTACTAAAAAATATTCCAAAGAGAAAACAATGTGTCATGGCTTGTTTCTTTATAATGTGAAAAAGAAATGCAAGTTTAACAGAGATAGGGAAGGGTTCCAAATCTCAGAATGGGGGATGTTTGATGCATCAGGGAACTAACAAACTACTGTGACTGCAAGATTCAGATCATGGTGCCTTCAGATCACAGGACCACCCTAAGTAACCAATATGCAGGAGGCACTTTTGCTTACAGGAAAAGTACAGGGCATACACTAAACAAAGGGAAAGTGCAGCAGAGAGGAAAGAAAGAAATAGAGAGCCTTACCAATTCTCTGACTCCATATTGTTTTTCTACTTTGATCTTTAAGTGCTTAAAACACTCCTCCATACGGTCGTGGAAAGGACGAAGGTTATCAGAAACCCTCTTTTCATGAATCTTAATTCCAGCCCCGAGGAAAGGTATCTTGAATAAAATGAAAAGAAAGAACATTAAACTGGATCTGCCAAGCCCCCCTCCCTCCATTTACAGAATTTTCCAAGTCAACTGCAAAACCATTACTGAGACTTGTAATATATTTGTCAGCCCCAGGAACTGGGAGAAGCAGATAGGCAGCTTGCTGCAAATTGGAGAAGGCTTCTGAAAAGCCAGCTTGCTGTGTAAACTTTTGGAGCAGGCTGCCTGAGTGGGCTTCTTCATGGTGATGGAGGGTTTTGTTCTTTTTCATATTCTGAGATTTGGATACACCCTGTGAAAGAATCTGAGAAAATCCCTGGTTCTGCTCACAGAAACAGCATTGAGAGTTCAATTCTCTGCACTCATATGACTTGTCAAAGAGAGATTTGGTTATCTCAAATACTAATCCATCTGCTAACAAAGGCACTTGCCATTTCTTGATGGCTGAGTGTAGACAGAAAGGTTGGGAGGACAAAGATCCAAATGGCTGTCACACTCCCAGCTTCCAAGTCCTGACTTTTCTTGGAAATCCATCACTCTCTTTCTTTGGGACTGCCAGTGATTTAAGCCAGGAGATCTTAAGTCTACCTATTCAGTTAGACGAAGAGAGGTGCAGGCAGCCATTCTCTCAGAGATAAACAGGTTAGCAAGGGGGTCTCTCCATCCCAGTTCACCAAGACAACATCCTCTCTTCATTTAAATCCCACATGAAATCCCTTAAATTCTGTGTCGCAACACATAGCAAGTTACTTTACCAGAAAATAAATACATAAATATACTACCTAAATGTGCTCAGAATGAAGCAATCATATTATTACTATGATCCTTCTCCTCTGCCTCCCCACTGCCTTTGTTACACTCTTACATTAGACTATATGATCTCCAGGGTAGGGACTGTATCTCTTATCTCTAGTTGTTTTGTAAAGTGCCTGGCACACTTTTGGGTACTGTATAAATAGGGCCCTACCAAATTTACGGCCATGAAAAACGCGTCATAGACCATGGAATCTGGCCTCTCCCACTGTAAAATCTCGTCTTTTCTGTGCTTTTACCCAATACTATACAGATTTCACGGGGGAGACCAGCATTTCTCGAGTTAGGGGTCCTGACCTAAAAGGAGTTGCAGGAGAGGTTGCAAGGTTATTTTAAGGGGATTGCGGTATTTCTAACCTTACTTCTGTGCTGCCTTCAGAGCTGGGCGGCCAGAGAGCAGCAGCTCTTGGCTGGGCGCCCAGTTCTGAAAGAAGCACCCTGCCAGCAGCAGTGCATAAGTAAGGGTGGAAGTACTATACCATGTCATTCCTTACTTCTGTGCTGCTGCTGGGGGCGGTTCTGCCTTCGAAGCTGGGTTCCGCCCAGCAGCTGCCGTTCTCCAGCTGCTCAGTTCTGAAGGCAGCACCGCGGCCAGCAGCAGCGCAGAAGTAAAGATAGCAGTACCACAACCCCCCTCTGCAATAACCTTGTGACCTCCCCACAACTCCCTTTTGGGCCAGACCCCTACAATTACAGCACCGTGAAATTTCAGATTTAAATAGCTGAAATCATGACATTTATTATGGTTATCCTTTAACCATGAAATTGACCAAAATGGATCATGAACTTGGTAGGCCCCTATGTATAAACAATAGTAAACTAGCCCACTCTTCTCCCCAACTGTGAGGGCACCTACTTGCTCCTAAGTTCTTTAAGAAGGCTATTTGTGAGATTTATTCACTATACTTTTAAATATCCTAGTGCAAATAATCTTTTGGTAATGCAGCAAAAACCTTATAGCTAGTTCTAAATAATGCTTTTTTTTTTTTTTTTTTTTTTGCATTATCCACTTATATTTTCTAGTTTCATGTATTGTGTTATGACCCTGTAAATAGCATTAACATATATATAAAAAATCCTTATTGATCTCATATTTTATGGAAGTTCATTCTCAGCCTGCTCTTAGAAGTACCTCTGTTATAGCCAATCTGCTGATCTTCTCCTGGGGGACTAATGGGAAGTGTCTGAATCACAGTTCTGGGGCCTAAGGACATTGTATTAAATTCAAGACAAACCACAAAAGCTGCAATGTTGTAGTGCAATCTGGGGCATCCATTAAGTGTTTCAGACTGTCAATAAGGGAGAGCACTGTGCAGATAAGGGTGTGGGGTATCCAGGAGACAAAACTGTGAAATTTGGTGACCATCAGTTACGGCAAGCCCGAAAACCAGAGCAAATAAAATTCAACAAGATGCAGTGGAGGAAACTTATTTGGAAGCTTCATTTGTGGTTAAAGACAGGAACAGATAGTCAAGGCTTGCTGCCTCCTTATCTGTCCAATGAAGATAATGCTTCCCTTCCTCACAGGGGTGTTGTGAATCACATTTCACGAATACATGTGAGCTGTTCTGATACTACAGTGATGGGAAATATATGGCAGGCTCTATAGCAGAAAGAGGGATATACAGGACATATCAAAAGAACTCTAGGGTCACACATTACTGGTGAGAGGATTCCAGTCTAATGAATAATATTTCCCAGCCATCCACTTGAGGGGGAAAAAGGACACAGTGGTAGGGTTTGAGACATTTAAGAATCACTAGCATATTTTAATATTGCGCATGAACTTAATGTAATTATTTTTATGCCTATTCTGTTCATAGCAAATATAGTATATTTCTTTTCATTCAAGTTGTTAACATTTCAGAGCAGGGAGGGGAGGTGTTCACAAATAGCGGTGGTTATAGATTGGCAGAGAAATTTAAAATGAAACTTTTCTATCCCACAGTCACTCTGTGTATCAGATACAGTGTTGTAGCGGCATTAACTGTTTTGACAAGATCATAAAAATAGCTCTGATATTTCCTGAAGTCATGGTTGCTTTTTTTCTCCTCTACTGTAGCACCAAATAGTTTAGGACAATAAAGAGAGCTATTTTCCCTTGAATCTCATCAAAACTGATGTTGCCTTTGTGACACTATCTACAGTAGATGTGTTTTATTCTTTGAGAACAAGGGGAAGCCGCAGGTTGGGTAGCTTATCAAAGCACACTTTAAAAATAAGAAAGAAAGAGCTGGAATGTAGCTGGCGCAGGTAAAATATTCTGGCTTTTCTCTAGAGAGATCAACCTTATAAAGTATTGATTACCACTCCTCTATTCTGTTTGTGGAGCTGAGTGTTGCACAAGGATGTGCAGCAGCAGTCATGCACGTGATATGGGGTATGTACTACATGGCCCCGAAGCAACAAAAAATTCCACTGACGTTTTTGACTCAAAAAAAAAAAGTGACAAACAATGAACGTTTAAAATGTGTGAGGAAGCTAAAAATGAAGATGAACTGTTTTCTAACATTTATAGGTTCCCCTTCTCTCATCAACCTGTGAAGCCCCCTATGGTCTTCTTACACTCTGAGTTTTGTCTCCAGGGATGTTTGCTAGAGCTTAAGATCTTACTCAGTAGCAATAAGGGTAGCTCCTTTTGTGTGAATTTTGGGCAAACAATTCCAGAGATGTGCTGGAGTGGATATCTCTGTGACCTATTGTTAAAGCTCTGCCCTCAAACTGTATTGAGGTTGTCAGGTGATTTCTCAGAGTCTGGTGGTGTTTCACCCACCCCTCTCCGGACACTGCTAACCAGTCCCTGCAGTGACATCTCAAAATAAAAAAAGTACTCTGCAGCAGGAAATGTATTCAATTTGGAATGGATCAAACCTCACAAAAATGTCAGTTATCTTACAAAATAGAGAGGGGGCTCTCTCTAGACCCCCTACAAAGTTTTATCTGCACCACTCCATTCCAGAAGATAACAACTCTTGGCTGTATAATTTGATCCAGCATCTCAGTAAGTTTATCAATAAAGTAGATTTCCAGTTATATATGTGAACATTTGCCAAGTGGTATAAGCCTCCTTTTGTGTTTGAGAGAGAATTTTTGCCTGAATAGATTCAAATTGATGCCTCTCTTCCCTCCTCTCTGCAATCCCACATGTCCCCAAGACAGGAGATTTATCACAGGGTAAAGGTAACATTTTAGTAGGAACCCATTTTAAAAATCTTTGGTAATGTAGCACCGAGCCGATCTGTTAGTTTCTAGCTATAACGTTGATTTTTTTCCCCCTTTTAAAAAAGCAGGAGAGGGAAACACATAAATACAAACGGGACTTAAATGACAGAACCATTTAAGTCACATTACACTATCCCAATGGAAAGAAAACTGATAAATGGAAAAAAGGAATAACTAGGTAAACCTCAGAAAATTGCGGCCAGTATGGCATTACCTGCCAAGCAATCAGGTCTTTGAGTCTGTTCAGCTTTTCTTGATCCTCTGGATGGTCTTTGGAATACTCATCGGTGAAGAAAGCCTGTGAGGGGCATATAAATCATTCAGTCCCTTTGAACATGAAAAGGGATCAATGCTTTCTCCAGTGTGAGTCACTGATCACGATAGAACTCTATCTCTAATCGAATGATAAGACATCTGTTTTCCTTGAGAGAAGCCACTTGTGGTGATGCTTTATTAATAAATGAATTGAGGATGAAAGGGCATTTTTATTTGTTCAAATATTTTCAGTGTCCATTTAACGCATTGGAGCTCAGGACCACCATCCTGAAAAGCCAACCTCTTGTTTTCAAGTTTTTTAACTAACATTTACTTTAGTTAGGGGTACGAAGTATTTGGAGTGCTATAATTTATCCATCAATGAATAGTACCTTTTTGTTGTTGTTTAGCTAACATAAGTGCACCTCCTGGATGATCAGTTAGATAAGAGTTAAACTTTTCCACCTGCTGCTATAGGACACAAACCAATACCAATGCAATTCATAACTTGAGCCATTACTCACAGCACCTGTGATACATGGGGGAGGGGGGGAAATTCCCTTTGATGGACAGCCAGGCAGCCAGCTAGCTGTAAAATCCCTCTTGGTCTGTTCAAAGGGAGCTACCCCCCCCCCACACACACACACACCCTTTATGTATCACAGCACCTCTTTCTCAGCCCAAAGTAAAGGTAGTAAGTCAACAAGCAACTGTATTACGACAGATTGCCTCACTGCACGTCTGGTGAATATCATGCAGATGAATGTCTTTTTTTAAATGATTTAGACACCTTCCAGGACATTTATAGGTTTGGACAGAAAGATTTGGATTGCTTGGGAACATATGAAGATAAAGACCGGATACCGGACTAGATGGCCTGATAGAAGCCAGCACTTGATGTTCACATGAAGGTGCATGCAAGAGCTCCACAGATGTGTGATAATTAAGTCTCATCATTATCTCTAACAGAGATTGTCTTAAGCCTTGATGCGTGATACTTAATATCCCTTCCAAAATTTTTGTTATGAGGCTGTCTTGGAATTATTGTCTTCAATAACTGAGTTCCTTAAGGGGCTGCATCTCCATGTACTCTGTTGTTCTAACAAAATACATTTCTTCACAACAAAAACTGCCTTTCAAAAGGCTGCAGTTACTGGAAAAAGCAGTTAACAAGGTAAGAGATTTACTAACTCTGAGTCTGCTAGACTGCTAGAAGGAGAATTTGCAGTGATTTACTCCAGACCAAACCAGTTGAGGCATGGAAGGCTATTTCATTAGAACATGTGTAATCATATCCTGCCATATCACACTTACACGGAAACCCCCAAGCTTGCAATTCATTTTGAGCATCAGTCCTACATCCATGTTAAGAGTCAACTTTTAAAGGAGACTAAGTCAGACGTGACCAGAGTCTGAGGATCTTCAAATTAATGAGGTTCAGCCTTTCTTTGTCCCCATCCCACTATCTCCCACCGCCATTTTTGACAATCACTAAGCAAGCAGAAACAGAGCTATCATCATTATTTAGAATAGAAAAATCTGTGAAGATGATCTTAAAGCTATTAAAATCATTACCTTTTCATATTTAGCAAAGCCTCCCATGACTGCTGGATCAACAATTCCATTCAGAAGCATGGAGAGAGGGTTAATGGGAAGGTTTTCATCACTCTGGTACTGGTTAATCATCATCAAAATTTTCTCATTTGTCATGGACATTGTCTCAATGGCATTCTCCAGTGGACTGATAGTCGCCTATGAAATAAGAGGAGGAATGTTTAATGTGCCTATTTGATTCCATTTTTTCTTGGTTTTCATTGATACAATAGCAAGCCCAAAGAAAACCATCTGCTCAGCAAAAGCATTTCCCCCCGTTTTTGGTGAATATTCATATGTGCATTTGGGAAACTACTCACGGGCAACAATTCATTCAACAAATTAAACCCTAGTTTCTGTTCACTACTGGTTCACAGGCAGAGTTTGATTTTTACCTGTTTGTTGAATGGGATATCTCTGTGGCCTATTGTTAAAGCTCTGCCCTCAGACTGTATGGAGGTTGTCAGGTGATTTCTCAGAGTCTGGTGGTGTTTCACCCACCCCTCTCCGGACACTGCTAACCAGTCCCTGCAGTGACATCTCAAAATAAAAAAGTACTCTGCAGCAGGAAATGTATTCAATTTGGAATGGATCAAACCTCACAAAAATGTCAGTTATCTTAAAAAATAGAGAGGAGGCTCTCTCTAGACCCCCTACAAAGTTTCCATTGTTGAGGAATGAACAAACGTTGGTTTGTGGATTGCTCACCAACTGCATTTGCTATTCATGATTGTTGCTGTGTAATTGGTCATCTTAGTCATGTGATGTTGTTTCTCTTTCCTATGGTATAAGCACTATTGCATTTTAAAAAGGGAAAGGGCAAGGGGATTTTGACTCTCTGAGGGTCAGGGCTCCATTGTAGACATAAAGGAAGATATGGTCTGTGTCATGAAGAGCTGATTAATCCATATACTATGCGATGTCTAAGGTGATTTGTAGAGGAGGAGGGCAGGTACCAATATGTTACTGGGCATGAACACTAAGTCACCCTGACCATTCTGGAACCTCAGAGGTTCAAGCAGTATCGGAGGACAATCCATATGAACAGTCCCACAACCCTGATTAATAGAAGGAAAGGCCCTAATCTTGGAGCAAAGGAGAGGATAGCTTGCCCACATTGATGGTGCATTTTTAATACCTATCATGAAAAGCTTCAGAGTGTACCTACGGTTTAAGTACCCATGTTGCCTGAGAAATACTCTGCCCAGTCATGAAAATGACCTGGATCACGGAGTCTCTGTGATTTGGTAAATCTGGGTAGAAAGTCTGGAAGAGAGTAAGTTGGCCTCTACAGGACTGGATTTTCCACAATCATTGTACACTGGGACTTTCATGCCAGGTGGATACAATAAATTAATCCATCCCTATGGCACAGGCATTGTCTTTGTCTAATGAAGTGTAAAAAGCCAAACAAAAATCATAACCACTCATGCTGACCCCTAAAACCTTCCTGGCCTCCTGCTAAACCAGTGTCCAACTGGATTAGATAACTCAATATAGAGCTCAGATGTGCTTTTCAGCCAGCTCTCAAGTATGCTGCACAGAAATAGATCCATTGTAGAATATATCCTGTGCTTTCTTTTCTTGTTCTGAGAGCACTGAGGAAGTGCAAATATTTTTCAAAGTGAACAGTTTTAATAATATGTATGTGTGTGGAGGGGAGTGAAGAACGGACCTATCACAGCAGAGCGCTGAGAAAAAAATCATTGAAAAAACAAACCTTCTATATCTTTTGTGTATTTTTATGCAATCCTCTCTCCTCAGGACACTACTGTTGCATATTCCACCTCTGAATTCATAATCCCCTTGTATATGCCTCTGAAATTATAATCAATAGCAAAGTAACCAACTGAAATGTCACAAATAGAAGATTATGACTTCAGGTGAAGAATAGCAGCAGGAGCAGATGAACTCCTAGGAAACCAAGATGTTGCTTCCATGCAGTTGTCCTTTGTAATCAAGAACAAGGGACAAGAAAATATAAGAAAAGGAAAAAATAAAGTAGAACTCGTTAGTGATTTCTTGCTCTAGGAGGACATATTTTTTGAAATGCACGCTCCCACCACTAAGGAATGAAATATTCAAAGGAGTAACACAAACATCATATTGTATCATATATGATGAATTTCTCTAACAGCTGTTGACATTCCCCCTCCTTGGTCATTTTCATTTCTTAGATAAAAACATAACGGGTTTGATGTCTGAGCTAGAACTAATGTAACAGCATCAGGTCTCTCAGAACAAGATCTTTCCTTGTCTGCATTCATGTGGCAATGAATTGGGTTCTGTCAAAACAGGGACAATTAAGGGAAAAGCTGATATTTTTCTATATCTTATCTATAGCCAGCAGCATGTCTGTTCTCTCTCTTGTTGCAGGGAGAGCTGGCTACCATCAGAAAAAGATGGACATTGTGCCAATGCTCAAAGTGGGACAGGAGGTGGAGAGATGCACCCACAGTCACGTTGCCTGAGAAGAAAGGAGGGAAATAGGTGATCACACAGAACCATGTTCCCCTTCTAAATATGGTACAGCATTGTGCGCCAATGTAAGACCAGAATGTAGATGGGGTTATCTGTTATCATGACAGTAAAAATCCACCAAGATATGCTTTGCTCCTTTAGCCACTTGGTGGTTATATAGAAGGTATAAATAACTATCTAACCTTGAGTATATGGGAGACAAAAGGCTAATGCTTAAGACAAATCCCAGTTTAGGAACTTCTTGGGTCTCTGTCCAGCTCCCACAGTATTCTCCTGCTGATGATTCAGATGTACTGTAACAGTTGCAAATTAAATAGTTGCTTCTTAGGGCTTGTCTACATGGTGTGGCTAAGCTCACTAGAGGGATGTAAATTCTCAAGTGTACCAAACATTTTGGCATGCTTGCTGGTCTGAGTAGACCATGTTGGCGTAGACTAAAAGCTCCCCAGTGTGCATGAGTGTACTATCTCACTGAGATCAGATTGTTAGATAAATGCCAAATTGTTCAACAGTACTAAGTTAATGTGCATTAGGTAATTTTTAGTGCATGCCAGAAGGGTCTACAAGAGCTAATTAATATGCAACACAGCAGTGTGCTTTAGAATTCACACCCCTCTGGTGCTCATTGCTTTATCGTGTAGACAAGCCCTTAGTTAACTTAATGCTGATTTAAGCTGTCATAAATATAAAGGGAAGGGTAAACCCCTTTAAAATCCCTCCTGGCCGGAGGAAAAGGGTTAAGAAGCTAAAGGTAACCACGCTGGCACCTGACCAAAATGACCAATGAGGAGACAAGATACTTTCAAAAGCTGGGAGGAGGGAGAGAAACAAAGGGTCTCTGTCTGTCTATATGCTGTTTCTGCCAGGGATAGACCAGGAGTGGAGTCTTAGAACTTTTAGTAAGTAATCTAGCTAGGTACGTGTTAGATTATGATTTCTTTAAATGGCTGAGAAAAGAATTGTGCTGAATAAAATAACTATTTCTGTCTGTGTATCTTTTTTGTAACTTAAGTTTTTGCCTAGAGGGATTCTCTATGTTTTGAATCTAATTACCCTGTAAGGTAGCTACCATCCTGATTTTACAGAGGTGATTTCTTTACTTCTATTTCTATTAAAAGTCTTCTTGTAAGAAAACTGAATGCTTTTTCATTGTTCTCAGATCCAAGGGTTTGGGTCTGTGGTCACCTATGCAAATTGGTGAGGCTTTTTATCCAACATTTCCCAGGAAAGGGGGGGTGCAAGTATTGGGAGGATTGTTCATTGTTCTTAAGATCCAAGGGTCTGGGTCTGTAGTCACCTAGGCAACTTGGTGAGGCTTTTTACCAAACCTTGTCCAGGAAGTGGGGTGCAAGGGTTAGGAGGATTTGGAGGGGAAAAGACATGTCCAAACTACGTTTCCCAGTAAACCCAGTTAAAGTTTGGTGGTGGCAGTGGAAATTCAGGGGCAAAGAATAAAATTAATTTGTACCTTGGGGAAGTTTTAACTTAAGCTGGTGAAAGTAAGCTTGGGAAGTTTTCATGCAGGTCCCCACATCTGTACCCTAGAGTTCAGAGTGGGGGAGGAACCTTGACATAAGCCTTAAAATTTCAAGAGGGTCATGTTGCATATATAATGACATAGGCATGCGTGACACTTCACAGGCAGATAAAAGAGAAGGTCCCTTCCCCAAGGAGCTTGCAGTCTCCAGTAGACAAATGATGTCATGGGAGATGACAAGAGGAAGGGGAAGGAGAAGAGACCACAGAAAAGAAAGAGAAAAGCAAAATTGCTCTTGGGGAGAGCATCAGTATTCACAGAACTCAGGTCATTTCTATGGCTTTGTTCAGTGCTCTTTAGGTTGTTAAACAATGATGGGGTTCAAGACCATGTGGCACCTGAATAGATGATACTGATGGAAAGCTAACAAGGGAGTTTTGATAAAGGATCTGAGGAAGAAAGGGAGGCTGTGCCAGGGGACAGGAGGGATTGTGAAAAAAGATGGACTTGGGTGGAGCAGACCAAGGGAGTGGGTAGCACACAGAGCCTGAGCTATCTGGGTCTGGAACAGCAGGAAAATGGAGATTAGAATCAGGAAATATGTGCCAAAATATATTTCCTTTTTTTTTTAATAAAAGCTCTGAATAGAAATAATTTTAGGGAAAAATTAATTAGATACAGGTTTGAACCCCTAACATCAGATCTCCCAACAGTCCTAGTTTTCATGGCATTGTCCCATTTTCAGCCCCAGAACCCCCTGTGCCCGTTGAAGTGAACATTTCCCACATTCAAGTCTGACCAGGGGAAGAAGCCATTTGTTTGCCCCAGGCCCTCCATTTGAGAGGGCCCTCAAATTGAGTGGCATTGCCACCTGGAGCACGAGGTCACAGTGCCACTCATGTCTGGTCCATCAGCTTCTCCATCTCCATCTACAGGGGGCAGACAGGCCAAACCTGAGTGGTGCTGTGTCCTGCTTTAGCCACATTACATACTGGGAGGTATGTTAATACTGCAGTTAATGAATAAAAACAAGAATGAAAATAAGCTTACGAGTTTCTCTTTCTCAAAAATGAATGACAAATTTTTTTTAAAAAGCCCTCTATAAATGGTAAAGGAAATTTGATTTTATTTTCTTTTGTAATAATTTAGGATGCTGCTAGTAACATACATAAGCACGTTTTTCTTTTAAGACTGAACTTTAATTTGACAGTCTCATACTTACATTTCTATACTTGGTTATAAATTTAAGTTGCCAAGGAAATATTTTTAAAATGCAGTTTTTCCTGAAGGCAAAACCTTTGTGTGGATTTTACAATATGATCCTAATATGTTGATGAATGTGACACATAAGAAGGAAATCAGGTAATATTTATAATTGGCCTATATACAGTATATAGTATTTAAATATAATATTCTGGAATGTACATTCAGAGTTATGTGAAATTTAGCCATTTAAATTCAAATTGTTTTAGTCAAATTATTTACAGTTCACAGGGCTTCAACTCAAACAAAATCATTAAGTTTTCTGCATGTTTCCATCTCAAAATAAATAACCATTCCTTTGCACTACTGAAAAATGAGGGAGTTTGTCTAGAGTTGAGCCACAGTTAAAACTTTTCAATGAAGCTGCCCAGACTTTGGGGTCCACAGGTTTTGTAAGTATTAAATCTCCTGTGTTCTTTTAGGCTATAAAAGCTATGCGTGGCTAAACAATGGAATTCCAATTCCTGACTGCTGTTAACCACCTGAGTTGTACTTTATAAAATTTATAGAACACTGAAGATGTAAAGATTTTAACTTGCTGTGATAGTTCTAATATGGGTCTGAAGCAGAAATAAAAATCTCATATTCCATTTCTGTGCTACTAGCTGTATTAATCAGGGCTTCCATTTGGCTTTGAGCAGGCCTTCTGTGGAAGGGACTCATGTTCTTTTCCCCTGAATCAAGCTCTTATATCCTTCATAAGCCAGGTTTCTTTTAGCAGGACATTTGAGATCCTGGATCTGAAGTGATGTCCAGTTTTATGGTCAATGGGATTTTTAGTGGATCAAATTAAAAAAAAATAACAACACAAACAAAAAACCCCCCCAAAACCCTGTTAAGGCAGCAGGTTAGGAAGAGGGGCAACCCTCTTCCCCTCCAATTGCTTTTTTGGGCTTCATGTCAGATATTTCCTAACGGTCCTGTCTCTTTTAGTGCATCTACATGTGTGTATTTCAAGTGATGCTCAGGAGCCAAAGTAACGATCAATGTCACCTAAAAGAGCCACAATTGTGTGAATTTATTATTTCATTTACTATTTTATATATATTATTCAAAGCATCCTGAATGGTTAATGTCTTAGACTGGTTAATAATTAAAGTACACAGTGGTTTAATACCATGTGCTGCAAGGAGCCACAGGAGACACATTAAAGAGCCACTTGTGGCTCCCAAGCCTCAGCCTGACTATCGCTGGTGTATTCATTTTGTGGGGATTGGCGGAGTTCCCTTTGCTACACTGAACTAATTCCCAATTTCCCATACTGATTTACTGCAAGCAACGAGAAGACAAGGAGTCTATTGAGTAAGAGGTGCCTATTGAGTAAGAGGTGCCTATTGTTCCTTCTATCCTTTTTAATTTTTTTGATAGAAGTGGCTCCTGAAGAAAGGAAGTGATCACATGTAGAGTAAAGGCAAAACCAATAATTTTAAAAATTGTCCAAATTCTTTTAGTGGCCATAAATTGTAAGTTTTATGTGCATTTTATGAGGAAATCAGAGTGATACCTCTGAGAACTTATGATGTTCACATTACCAAAGGGGATACTATTATCATGTTTTATGATAAGTCATCACCAAAGGGATTTCCTTCAGATGATTTCAGATCGCCAGTGTCAATTCAAGGGAACTGTAATAAATATGATGCTGAGAACTACTTTTGTGCAATTACAGCAGATAAAAACTGAAATAATGTAAAGAGAAGCTTTTTTTCCCCAAGTATAAATAATGTTGACAAGGAAACAAGGAAGGTCAGAATAAGTAAAACTGAAGGAATCTTAAATTATTTTTGTACTAGTAATTGCCAACACCTCTTTGGCCCACCATGTACCAACAATACCTCAGAACTTGTCTATACAGACACTTCATGTGCAACAAGCCAGGGTGTAAATCTGCAGTGCATTAGCTTGCTATGCACTAGCTGGCCCGGAGGAGCCTGCTACCTTGTGCTAACACTACAGAACTATTAGTGTTTGGTAACAGGGTCCAAACAGAAAGCTAGTGTGCTGTAGATTTACACTCTGGCTTGCTGCACATAAAGTGTCTGTGTCGATAAGCCCTCACTCCAAAAGCCGAGAGGCTTACCCATGACCACTTGTATGTATTTTTTTTAAGACTGACTATCCCTTTTGTCAGGGAGTCTCAGGACAGTACCTTACAAAGGATATATGAGTTGTAATCTTTAACCACAGCAGGGCTGAGGTGTCAGTCATTTCAACGTATTGCACTAAAGTAGAGATTCTGTCAAAATCTAGCAGAAAAATTGTCAGGCAAGATATATGGTTATCTTCTACCTTTTACATAGATGTTTTACTCATTTGCAATAAAATGTCAAAATGCTATGTTTTCCATGACACATACAAGGTGGTTGAGGTAATATTTTTTTATTAGACCATCTTCTGTTGGTGAAAGAGACAACTTTTGTACTCCACAAATATTGGTCAATACTTTACCAGCCACTGGTAAAAAACTACCAACCACCTACCCTAGCAATATAAGAACATAATAATGGGAAGAGTCCATGTAGCCCAGTATCCTATCTAATGACAGTGACCATTTATTCCTACCATTTGTTTCCTATCTTTTAACCAGTTACTGCTCCTCAAGAGGACCTTCCCTCTTATCCCAGGACTGCTTACTTTGCTGAAGAGCTGTTGGTGAGGGACCTTGTGAAAGGCTTTCTGAAAATCCATGTACACTATATCTACTGGATCACCCTTGTCCACACATTTGTTGACTCCAGTCAAAGAGTTCTAAAAGATTGGGGAAGCATGTTGTGTTGACTCTTCCCCAACATATCATGTTCAACTATATGTCTGATGACAGGTTTCAGAGGAACAGCCGTGTTAGTCTGTATACATCTGATGAAGTGAGCTGTAGCTCACGAAAGCTCATGCTCAAATAAATTGGTTAGTCTCTAAGGTGCCACAAGTACTCCTTTTCTTTATATGTCTGATAATTCTGTTTTTTACTACAGTTTCAACCAGTTTGCCTGGTACTGAAATTAGGTTTAATCACACTGTAATTGCCAGAATTTCCTCTAAAGCCTTTTTTAAAAAATTGGCACTATATTAGCTACTCTGAAGTCATCTGGGCCAGACACTGATTTAACTGATAAGTTACATACCAGAGTTGTTAATTCTACAGTTTCATAATTGAGTTGCTTCAGATTCCTTGGGTGAATACCATCTGGTCCTAGTAACTTCTTAATGGTTTAATTTACCTATTTATTCAAAAACTACCTTTATTGACATCTCAATCTGTCACCCTAGATTTGTCACCTTAAAAGAATGGCTCAGGTCTGGGAATCTTCCTCACATTCTCTGCAGAGGAGACCAATGCAAATAGTTCATTTAGCTTCCGTGCAACAGGTCCGTCTTCCTTGAGTGATCCTTTAGCACCTTGATCATCCAGGGTTTGTCTACACAGGGATACAAAACCTGCGGCTGGCCCAGGTCAGCTGTCTCAAGCCAGTGGGGCTTGAGCTCCAGTGCTCAAAAATTGCTATGTATATGCTCATACTTGGGCTGGAGCCAGAGCTCTGGAATGCTGTGAGAATTCAGTCTCCAGCCTGAGCCTAAATGAGCCCTGAAGCTCGAGTCCCAGCAGCTTGAGCCAGCTGCCCAGGCCAGCCACAGCCATGCTGCAGGTCTTTTAATCCCATGTAGATGTACCCCCAGTGGCCTCCCTGGTTGTTGGCAGGCTTCCTACTTCTGATGTACTTAATTTTTTTGCTCTTAGTTTTTGTGTCTTTTGCTAGTTGCTCTGCAAATTCTTTTTTGGCCTGCCTAATTATACTTTTGCATTTGACTTGCCAGAGTTTATGCTCCTTTCTGTTTTTCCTCTGTAGGGTTTGACTGCCGGTTTTTAAAGATTGCCTTTTTGCCTCTAACTGCCTCTTTCACTCTGCTGCTTAGCCATGATGTCATTTTTTTTATTTCGGATATACATTAGTTTGAGCTTCTATTATGATGTTTTAAAATAGTTTCCATGTAGCTTTCAGGGATTTCACAAAAAAACCTAAAATGTACAGAGTAGCAGTCTTGTGAGTAGATTTAGAAAATAAATAAATAAATAAACAAACAAAAATTTGAACCATTTAATCTCAAAATAAGTCTGTGTTAGAACCGCTACACTGCATTTATATACATTAATTTGTATATCAGGATACTTAGCATGTAAATACCCACCTGTGACATGGAGACAACCTCAAACCAACGCAGAATTCCAGGAAGTTTGTAAGCTGTAACAAATGATGTTCTCTCAATCCACATAGACTGTTGTTGTTTTTTTAAAAAAAGAGACAGGATTGAAACCTTAGTCTTTTCAGGATAGAAGTTGATAGAAATTACATTGCAAAATAAAAGATAAGGTAGAAAAATGACATAGGATAATTTGTGCATAGAAAGATGCAGCAAAGGGAATCCAGCACAGCAATTTGTGGTTTATTGTTTCAAAACCAGGTCATCATTACGCTCTCAGTCTCTACCAGGTAAGGAACCCCCAAATTTCTATTCCCAACTCTGCCACTATTGACTGTGTGATCTCTGGTAAAACACTTACTCTGGCCTTCTTTACTCTGAATTAAGAAACTTTAAGGAAAACAACTGGTCCTAGCAGCAGGAGGAGTTCTATATTACAGTGCCAGAATTGTAACCACTTTGTTGCTGTAAGCAGGTTAGACAACATGGCAGATTAAACTGCTAGCATTCTGCCTTCCCTAATGCTCCTCCTATTATTGTTACCATGGGGAGCCGAGTTGGTGGTAGCAACAGTGGGAAATTTTAACAACAGGTCTAATGCAGACACAGCCTCACTGTCAAGTGTCCCATATGTAAAACAGAAATACTAATATTTACCTTCCTCAAAAGGTACAATGTGTTACTACAGTGTCTGATTCTTAGACAGACACATTACACATCACCATGCCAGGATGTTAAAGTTCTAGAACTGGAAGCACAGGATACAGCTAGTGTCACTTGCTCTGGGTGTGGGACAGTGTGTACAGTCCCTGCCCACACAAGACCACACAACTAGTGGAATCACTAGTTAGTGCTATTAGTCACTGATCAGAAAAATACACATAATTTAAGTGCTTCGTACCATTCTGAAATAAGGTGCTCTTATAAATCTGAAAACTTAAGTTGTTTTCCCCACCAATATCCTGACAGCACTGATTTACCATAAAACGTGACTAGAAAAATATATTCAACTACACAATTTTATGATATAATGAAACTTTATATATTTATTCCTCTAAAGTAAGAAAACTTACCACACTGTTGTACATGACATTATAAAAATCATATAATTCACAGCACTTGTAGATCTCAAAGTATATTAAAACCATGAACATTATTTGTAGCTATTGCATTACTGAACAGCTGATGTGAGTCAGTGTGGTATATACAGTAGTCATCACTTCACATGAGTGATGAAAACAGACAATTTACACTCCTTAGCCCATACCGGTAGCTTATGAGTGGAGCAGTTATTAAGTACTAGTGGCGATGCATTTTATTGATATGTATTTATATTTTGTCTTGCTTAACAATAGAAAATTTTACTAGACAACTGTCCTGCACAACCAAATTGTATTTCACTTACTTAACAGAGAGGTTTTACCTAAAATTCAAACAACGAAGTATTAAGATCATAAAATGGGAAATTAGGGTACAAATTAGGAAATTTGTAAAACGAGACTATGTTGAAAAGTACTTAGAGTAAAATGTAAAAATAGAGAAGCCCTAGATTTAAATTGTACTGTAGTTGAAATGAAAATAGGTCTTGTTTCAGATCTTGAAAGTAGGCCTTCCATAGTGGGGCAGCTGGGCGTGACTATTAAAGGATTAATCTCTGAATTCACAAGCACAGCAACGCCAACATATTTTACAAAGATGCTGCCATGTCAAAAAATTACTTACAGCAAATTCATTTTCAGGGTCAACAGATCCTTTCCTGACTGGTCTTGAGTAGTGGAATCGTTGAACGTAGTTGGATTTATAAAAGCTGAAAGATTTAAAGAAGATGTAAAAAGCATAATTCAAGTACAGCTGGATCCCACCATCAAAGTAAATGGCTTTCTTTTTGTCTGATTTTATTTTTTAAATTAAGTGTGATTTAGTGTTTGTGAAAAGTGCAGCAACAACAGCAAGGAAGACTGAAATCATTTATTCACCGAACAGGGACAGTAGCACTAAGTTTCATCACAGATGTGACTGTGACCTGGAGGATGTGAGCCTTTCAAAATATGGCTGAAATACTTAGGGGAAGCTGTAGTGGAGGGTTTTGCTTTTATTGACATGCACCTCTGAATTATGTTTTATGGATTGACCCAAAAAGCACTGTATATTGTTAAGAACAGTAAGTGACCAAGTGGAGTAGATGATATTTTGTTTTGGACTTAAATGTGTGCTTGTTCAAACACTTCCGATGCCAAATCAGTTGATCAGATCTCTGGATAATTCTGCCTACAACACAGCAAAATAGCTGTTTATTAAACATATGAAGCCATAAACAACTATTTCTTATCACATCTCGATGGATTTTGAAAAAAAAATCTAATAGAAATGGAATATCAAGGTCGAATACACCAGTAGCATCCAGTGAATTTTCATACTATGATCTCCTTAGCTAAAAAATAATCTTCAACTACTGTTGCACAGCAAGAGGAACATCCACCTCCCCCTGTCCCCCCCCCCCCCCCCCCGGCCCACTTTACCATACAATTAGGGAGGATTGAGAGGTAACTTGAAAAGAACACAAAACATACTTACATACTTTAAATATTTTACTGCCCAGGAGACTTTATTTATTTATAGGAATTCAATTTAAAGCAAAGCCAAGCAGAGACGGACTTTGCAGGGCAAAAACAATGTTTTAGGACTAGGTGCAACTTACATAAATATTTCCAGAAAGAATTTCAGAAATGACCTGGTATTTTGGCTGAGTAGCCTTAGAAAACATAGGGCCGAGTCTGGCCAAAGAGCACTCTCATTTTGCTCATTATTGTAAGTGTATGATTCCTGAACTAGGTGACAACCACTGAAATTACCTCTTTGGTAAATCACACTGATTAAAGAGGCATATCAATTCAAATAATTTTATATAACCACTTTTAGGACAGAAATTTTCAACCACTTTACTAGAATGAATACACTAAAATCACCTCTTACAAATAAGAATTATACTTACAAACAAGTACTCTTCTCAAAAATAAATCCTCCCTATTTTTGGTGGAAGAAATTTAGTGCAGTCTGGCTGAGTTCTGCGTCTGAGATGTGATTACAAAATCTTACATAAGGCAAAAGATTTTCCTTTATGCAGGGGATTTCAAGAGTCTTACAGCACCAAGTTCAAACTGTCGCTGGCGTTGCAGTGACTTTAAAGTCCAGTCAAAGAGGCCAGTTTCACTGAGGTGCTTGTCAGTCACCAATTATAAAATACATTCAAGTTGAAACTGGGAGCACCAAATTACATTTCATTTCAAAATAAGAGAAATGTGCTTGTTCCCATCCTTTTAGTTTTAGGTGGATCATTCATGCTTTTGCATTCTGGATTAGTTGCAATATCTGTAAAGATGCTACTGGCAAACCTGCAGACAAAGAATTGCAGAAATCCATTCTGAATGTAACAAAAGCCTGTGGAACAGCTTATAAATCAGAAGGAGCCAGGGCAGTTAATAAGGCAATAAAAAGCTGTTGAACTTTCAGCCTTCTTTTTGAAGCGACTTAATGCCAATATTGTTAAAGGTAACCCTGAGATTCCTTCAAATGTGGAACTACATGACACCATCCTTCCCAAGCAAAATGCAGCTGCCTCACATTGCTTTCAGAAAATTCTCTTTGCTAAGAATCAAGACCCTTTTATTCAACTAAGAAGATATCACTGAGTCTTCTATTTCTGCAAAGCTGCCTGAACAGGATTAGACTAAAAAGAGAAGGATAATTTGCTGTTATCTGTGTGTTCCTGAAAAGAAAGATATTACCTAGCAGTGATCAGTTCCAAGGACAGCATGTATAGTGCTAATATCCTTGACATATATGACAGCTGAATAGGTTGGGTGCAAGTGGTGAGAGAGCAGATTTGAACCAAGCTAGCACATTTCCACTCCATTAAAGATGTACATTTTTCTTCCCATTGAATTAAAGCCTTCTAAACCAATACATGGAACGCCAGCAATTCACCTCTGCAATGTCTGTCTTACTTCAATAGTAAGGGCACACTGAAAAGGGAATTCAGTTTTGACCACTTTTTCCTAGGACTACTAGTAGCAATAAGAGATCTGAAACTGGATCAGCTAGATTATTATTAATATGTGGGACATCAGGACCCAGGTATGTTTCTGGTAAAGTGACCAGCTAGCAACTGTGAAAAATCGGTACAGGGGATGGAGGGTAATAGGAGCCTATATAAGACAAAGCCCCCCAAATCGGCACTGTCCCTATAGAATAGGGACATCTGGTCATCCTAGTTTCTGGGAAGGGTTTTTGGGGGATAGAGCCAGTCCCCAGGAACAAAAGACTTCCCAGGAGCATGGTGAGCCCCCGGCAACTGGGTAGGGAGGGAGGTGAGGTGTGTGAATCCAATCCAGACTTGGACTTAGGAGGAAGATCCACCCACCCTAGGGCACCAGGATTCTCCCTCCCCAGCTTATGAACTCAGGGAGCAGTCTTCTGAGGGCAGAGCGAGATGAGAGTAGAGCTCAGGAGAGGATAAGCAGGGAAGGAAGGTTCCAGGAAGGAGCAAAAAAATAATTATGAGTAGATATGTTGGGAAAATTAGAGAAAGCAAGAGAGTGCCATGCAAACACTGGTGAGTTTTAATGTTCAGAGGTGACAGCAGCTGTCTCAGGCAGGGACGGCAAGCAGGATGAGTGGTGTCACTGTTCCTGGAGTGTCAGGGCTCTCTGAATTCGGCATGGTGGAAGAACAGAAAAGCAGCTGTTGTAGAGATGCTGTCTTGGTGTTGCTGAAACCACCAGAGGTGATATCACTGGGAAGAGAGGGAGAGGAGCCGAGCATTGCCCCTGAGGCTACAACAGCATATAGAGTAGTTTTTAAACTGGACCTGTCTCTGGTCCTCTACTAATATTGGTTCTGCTGCCCCCAGCGCTCACCTGTGTGCGTTTGTTTAGGTGGTTCTTGCTACTAGCCAGGTAGATCTTCTTTTAATCTAAACCTATCCCCAGTTACCTATTGCTGCTGCTCTTAGCCCATGCTTTAAATGAGTAGTTTCAGGAGGGAATTTGAAGGAACTAACATTTGCTTCCTTCTGATTCTCATTGACCTTACTCCGTAGGCTGTGAGGAAGTGTATTAGCAACAAACAGTGGCATTGGTTTGGAGGTCAGACAAGTATACAAACTCATGTTGTGTTCTCGAAAAAAAACCCCACATCCTCCATCCCCTTGCAATTTCCCCAGGGAACTGGAATAAGAGGCTGGGAACTGTGTTTTTGGGAGAAGAAAAGCAGACTGTGGCAAAACACTACCCAGGCACACAACCGTTCAGTCCCACTGAAATCAATGAAGCTGCAGTGGGTATATATTAGAACAGATTCTGGCCGCATATCCAGAGTAATTTGGGCTTTTTTCTGTAAGCATATGGTAGTGTTTAAATGGCTGATGAGAATCTCTGAAATGTCAGGAAAAATACATTTAGTAACTGAGATAAGTGCATGCACCCTGGCTCACCAATAAATTGGCTGTGTTTATAAAAAAATTCTTTCTCCATAGATTATTAACCCAGACTCTCACACCTTTTATGGTATCATTTATCCAACAAAAATAAACTTACTTTATGATTTGATCGGGTACTGGCTTATTTTTGAATCTGGTATGCTCCTCCAAAACTGGTTGCACAGTAAAGCACTGAATGTCTAAAATCACACAGGTTAAGGACATATGAAAGATAGTATGTAGCCTGGAAAACAAACAACATGTTGTCCAAGAGCAATCTTCCTAAGATTTTTATTCTAGAGAGGAAATATTTGGCGTTAACACTGAAAAAACAGACTAATTTTGAGATAGATACAATACAGTATCAGTTATCTGAGTAGGTTTACTGTTAGGTTAGTAGGCCTGTAAGTTAATTTATCACACTGAATAATTTATTGCACTACAAAACAAAGCCTATTTGATACAAATATTTTCATTACTTAACTTTGACATAGGCATAGCGTATGGCATCGATTGGCAAAATGTCATGATGTTTAAAGATTTAGATCTTTGTCCAAATTACTGTGTGTCTGTAACAGGGTCGGCACCCACCTCTTGTGCATGCCCCCTATTCTCTGGCTGATAGTGCCTGCAAACACAGTTCTTTCATGGGGGGCAGCCCCTACCTCTCGTGGATGGCCCCCTTTCTCTTGGTTAGGTGTGAGCCTGCTTTTCTTTTTTGGTCTTACATCAGGGTGGCGCCTGCCTCTTGGAAGCACCCCACCCCAGCTGCTGGTTCTCTCAGCTGGTCTTTGGCAGCTCAGACCTCTGGCTGAGCTGCACACGCTGTCCCCCCTTTCCGGGGTATACAGTTCTGAGTTCTTATCATGGCCCTGGTATGGTGCCATAGTTCTTAGGCTTCTTCCCTGAGGTACTGCCTTCTTCAACCACCCAGCCAGAGCCCATTTCGGTACCCTCAACTGGTGTCTTTTTCAGCAGCCCTCTCAGGGCTCAGTCTGCAACCAGACCAGCAGGGCCCATCTCAGTACTCTCACCTGGTCTGGCCAGGTCCTGGGATCAATCCCCTGGGCTCAGCCTGCCTGCAGTGACCTTTTCATGGTCCTGCTGCTACTCTATCCATCCAGCCAGGCACCCGGTCTTTGGCAGCCTCTGCTGGGCCCAGTTCTGTCTGGTGAACTCTCTGCAGTCAGCTATCCGCAGTTCTGCTGTTCGTCTAGCCAGCCAGGCACCTGGTTCTCTCTCATCAAGTTCCACACAGCAATTGAAGGCTCTGCTCTGCTGCTTGCCTTTTATCTGGCCCTTCTGGCCCCTTATTAGTCGCTCCAGCAGCCCCCTCTAGGCTGCCCCCCTCTAGGAGGACTTCTCGCCACTCTATTCTGGGGCAAGGTGATGCAAGGCCAAGAGGCCTCCAGGCCTAGTCCACCCTGCCACAGTGTCACTTGTGTCTTAGATTTCCATTTTATAAGTGGGTGCTTAGTTTCAATAGAATATTGTGTGGGCATAAATCATATTCTTACACATTTCACTCAAGCGCTTACAGTCAGATTCTGCCATCTTTCCTTACGTGTGGAAGTGCCTTGCTCTATGACTAGTCCCATTCACTTCAGTGGGACTACCTAGGTGTAAATTGCTCTTTATTCTGAGCAAGGATGTCAGACTCTGACCTTTAGAGAGGAAATATAGTCTAGTGATTAAGGCACTGGACTGGAACTCATGAGATCTGGGTTCCAGTGTTATCTTGGGCAAGTCTGTCTGTCTCTTTGGGCTTCAGTTCCCCATTTGTAAAATGGAGGTAATATTACTTTCCTCCATTTATTCTCCAATGTTCCGTCCATTTATTACTCCCATATTCCTTCCATGTGAGGTGCTCAGATACTATAATGATCAGTGCCATAGGGAAGCCTACAAATAATAAACACACAGTTTTAAAAGGAGATAAAAATAACCCTGGGTTTAAACTGTAATATCTGATCCTTTGGTTACCCTTTGCTCACCCAAATGCTGGGGGCATTTGAATCCAGATCCAAACCAGTGGCTCTCTAATGGTCCAGATCAGAACATGAGGAAAAGGAGACAAGAAGTGAGCAATCTACCAGGAACATTCCAAACAAGAAAATACCTTTAAGCTCTTTTTAAAATAAAGCGGAGAATGATTATTTGAGATGGATTTGATGATGTAGCACATTCCAAAGGCTAGGAACGCCCACAGCCATGGCGCCACTGCCTGGTGACATAAGGAATGACAGTGGGATCTGTAAAGGGCAGGTGGTGTACAAGGGCAGTTTCAATTAGAACAGGGAGGTCATGCATGTGGCCTTTAATGAAGGCCTTGTTCAGGGAGGTCATGCATGTGGCCTTTATTGAAGGTCTTGAATGAAAAGCCTGTAAAAGACAGGAATGCCACCTGATACACGACCTGCCACTTTAAAGGTAGCCAATGCTATTGCTCACTACAGTTGTTACACGCCAAGTTGGTAAAGGTAAACTGTGTGTGAACTCAAAAGAAGACTAAAACAGAGTGCCCCAGAACTGGGGGAGAGAGAGAGGATGGGCACACAAGCCTTAGAAGAGAAACAGCCTATATATGTGAAACTGGAAACTGAGGTGTCACGTGAATAGGTGCTTGTCACTTTTATGAAATGATCACTCTCTGAAGCCAAATTCCTTCAGGTATGGCTGGTGCCGCAGCTCCCTGTCAGCTCTGGAGAGCTGAACTCCGGTGAACAGCCTCCTCCAGAGTTTTCAAATGTACTCATGTTTGCTCATTAGTTTCACTTTTCATCAAAACACAAACAAACAAACAAACAAAAACAAAAAAACAAAAAAAAAACAACCCCCCCCCCCCAAGTCCAACAAAGGCATTTCAAACATTAAGGGCTTGTCTACAAGTTGTGTTAGTGCAGCACCAGCTGGGGTAGAAATTCTAGTGCACTGCACACCAGCATGTTGTGCATTAACTGGCCTGTGTGGACCCTGCTGGTGTGCAGCACAAGTTTCCTAGCGTGTGTTAACGTAGTACCACAGGACAACATCAACATAAGCTAGGAAACTTTTAGTATGCACCAGAATAGGCTAGTTAGTGCACAACTAATTATGTAGACAAGCCCTAAGCGCAGTAGTACAGGTGCATTTTGGGGATGAAGGGGGAGTATTGTTCAGAATTATGTCACTGTGCCACCAGGGTGTTTCTAACATAAGCAAAGGATTCTTGAGAAGGAGAGGAAAGACCCAAGCTGGTGAGACAAGACATGTCAGTGTCTAAGTAGATTTAAACTTAGATTTCAAATGTTAGAAAAGCATGTGCATGATTTATTTACAAGCAGTTCTAGGAAGCCAGCCGATGTTCCGTGCAGCTTTTGAGGACAATTGCAATATACTGTTCAAATAAAAATGAAGTGTGTTTGGTTATTACAATAGACTACTGAAACGATGCCCAGCAGGTAGCCACAGGTGGGGTGGATTTCAAAAGCTATCACATGTCTGTATGCTAAAGTATGTTTTTTGAAGGGAGGGTGGAGGGTACATTAAGTACAATAAGAGCTTCTCTTTAAGTGCTCCCCCCCCTTGAGTGTTGGGGACTGAGAAAGGAACAGATGATATCTCGACAATCAGTTATGAAGTATTCTTAAAAGATATGCATAATGGTTACAAGACTTTAGGTTCCTGTTCAGTAAGTGAGTCAGGTCATTAAAAAGCATAGTACAAAATAAACACTTATATTTATGATGTTTCAACAAAATATTGCCTTTTCCTATAATTCAGAAATATCATGGAAATGAAAGGAACCAAGAAATACTGGAAAGATGTAAATAATACTGATATGGTGTGAAAGCACATGAATTAGCTAAATTTAGCTGTTCATAACATTTGATGTTACAGACAGAACAAATGCATGAATTGTATTTAACAGCACCACTTTGCACCGACAGCCCTCCAACTGAGCCTCTCAAAGTGCTTGCCAAACAATAGGAATCCATCCTCACAGTTTTCCTGTGAGGTAAAAATCCTTACTGTCCTTTTTTACAACTGAGGGACAAAGTGGGGAAGCAACTTGCTCAAGGTCATACAGTGCATCTGTTGCACATTCAGGAAAAAAACAAAACATTTGCTGGTGTTCAGTCCCATGAAGAATATAGGAATATTTGAGCAATGCAGGTTACAGATTTTGACTGAACTAATGGTCAGTGGAACATCATGCTTATCTTATTTTGTCTGTTCCAGACAGGTTACGTCAGCTAGCCTCACCCTTTTTTCAAGTTCAGTGCAGTTTCTATCTATTACCAGTTCAGAACATAATATATTTTTCTTCCATTTGCATCCTCTAATTAATCCCTCACTGTTCTTCCTTTCCCTTTTCCAGTTCAGACCAGTGTACTTAGGCAAATTAGCCAGTTTAAACAAAACCAAACCAACTGGTCACATGTACCCGCAAATATTTGCGGACCAAAACTTTTGAAGTTCTAGGGTGGGATTTTTAAGACCCACCAATGTTGGCATAACTCCGCTCCTATTGAAACCAATGGGAGTTTTACCATTGATTGCCGTGTGACGTTCCACAACAGCACAAGACACCTGTTGTACTAGGTGTTGTAGAAACACAGACTAAGAGATAGTCCTACCCACAAAAAGTGTACATAATCTGTTTTGAGTGTGGTGTGAAGGGAATTAGACATACAATTGCTGTTCGCATTAATGGGAGTTGTGTACATGCTACTGCACACGCATGCCGAACACATGCCTTTCCATAAAATCATTTTATAGTGATTTAGTTCACAGTGCTGCACTGCCTCAGTCAACAGATTTACACCGTACTACTGTACAGGAGCCCCTTGCCTGTAGGCACCTTCCTTCTTAACATAGCTCCACCTTAGAATCACACGGTTAGAAGGGACTGCAAGATTCATCTAGTCTAACCCCCTGCCAAGACACAGGATTTGTTGTGTCTAAAATACCCAACACTATCCAGCTTCCTTTCATAAACCTTCAGTAAAGGAGCTACCACGACCTCCCGAGGCAGTCTGTTCTGTGGTCCTACTGGTCTTGCAGTTAGGAAGTTTTTCCTGAGATTCAATCTAAATCTGCTATGCTGCAGGTTGAATCCATTGTCTTTTGTCCTGCCCTCTGTGGCAAGGGTGAACAACTTTTCTCCATCCAGCCTTGTATGTCTTGAAGCCACATCTGCTTACTAATACTGGCAAAATCCCTTTTCTCTGAACCAAGTACATCTACAGGCAAGCAAAGCAGCTTGATTCTGTTTTTTCATTGTTAAGAGGATTCAAGGATGCTCAGCACCTCAAGAGACACTCACAACTTTGAATGATCAAGTCCCCTAGAGCCAACCTCAGTAACAGTGACTGCCATCGCTGCATACCATGATTCACAGGAACCATGAACTTCAACAGTGTTGCTATCAGACTCCCTTGACAAAACAAGTTTTTCCTTATTCTGTAAATTCCTATATTTAAGGATACATTGACCAGGAGAGCTTTTCATGTCCTCTCCAGGGGCTGAGGTGGTATTCATCTTCTCTGCATTTGGGAACTGGCTCATCAACTGTGCTTGGAAATCTTCTCTCCGCTCATACTCCTTCCCACGGTAGATGAACACTTTGTTCTGCAAGAGAAGAATACTAGATTTCTTAGACTGGAAGGTCTTTGGGGCAGGGGCTGTGTGTGTGTTTGTACAGGGCCTAGCACTGTGGGGTCTCTGAACCTGATAGGGGCCTCTAATTGTTTCAGAAATATAAATAATTGATTCTAACCCACTTCCACTAGCTCCAGGAAATTGTCACTGATTCCCCCAAAGAAAATACTTCATGCTGCGAGACAGAAAGAGGAAAAAAAGACTGAATTCAGAATGTGCCTTTACAGTAGTAACTAAACAGGAAATGGGGAGGTGGGTAAACTGTTAAAATTCCTTTTCTTCTTTCCCCTTTATGAAAGAAACTTGCTTTATAATATACATATAACCTCTCTTCTCCCTGTTCCTCTCCCCAGTATTATAAACTTCTAATTTACAGCACAGTCAATTCCAAGGAGTTCTCATCTGTTGTTCAGTGTACTTGGTGTGACGAGATCGGGAAGGAAAGAGGCAGGTGTCCTTACAGTTATATGAAACACACCCATTCAGTGTTAATTTTTGAAGCAGGGGGAAATGTCATTAATATTAAATTAAATAAAGGCGAGTAGTCAAATCTTTAGCCTAAATACCCAACACCTAAAACCTAAAAATAAGGTGAAATTCTCTCCTCTGCAGGGGTTCCACTGAATGTCCTCCACAAAAACACAGTCTGTAAGGCTGAACTGGTGAAGGGAGGCATTGCATTTGCTACTCAAGCATGAGGGTGTATTTCAAGCTATGTTGGAACTACCATAGTACCTTAAAGTACACCAAATGTACCTATGTGAGGGGTATACTTACTGAGACAGGGACTCTGGACAGTGGTGAATATTTCAATGCACTAATGCTTTGACAAACACAATAATACTGAACATGGGCAGAAAGACCTGTCCTGGTAGCGTCTCAGAGTCAAGACAAGTCCCGTGATAGTGAAAATTTAGAAATGTTGGTTGGGATTTTCAAAGAAACCTAAGAGAATTAGGCTGCCAAATGCCAGTGAAGTTCAATTGGACTTAGGAGCCTAAGTATCTTGAGCTCTTTTGACATCCCTATTTTTATTTGGGTTCTCGACTGAGGTTCTAAGATGGTTGTAAAATGAAAAAAGGCAAACAATAGGTGAACAAGCATAGGGGTGGGTCAATGAGTGTATGTGCATTTAGATAGGCAGTAGTGCTGATTCAGTGCCCATCTATACAGAGAGTTAGTGTGTGGCAAGTTGAGGTGTAAATCTACAGCGTTCTAGCTTGCCATGCAGATCCTGCTACCTCACACCAAAAGCTCCATAATATGCTTTGACCATTGCTGTGGGCAGTACCAAAGCTATGGGCAATACATCAAAGTGTACTGTGGAACTTTTAGGGTATGTCTACACTGCAGCTGGGAACAATACATCCAGCGCAGGTTGAGAGATTCAAGTTAGCACACTAAAAATAGAAGTGTGGATGTTACAGGCCATATGGCAGTGTGACAGGGTGCTACCTGGGGAAGGCTGCAGGCCCAGGTGAGGGCAGTTACACATTTTCTGGTGGGGGATTGTGAGTACCCAGGTGACAATCACAGGGCTAACAAAGTAATTGGGGAGAATACAAGGGGCAGCTCAGGAGGAACTCAGAAGGAAGCTCAGAGGGTGAGCCTGGGCAGGGGAGTCTATCTTTGCTGTAAGCCTGTATTGCACAGTATTACCATGTAAGAGGGAAATAAATGGTCCAAGACAAACAGCCCAGGATATGCGGCTGTGAACCTATCTGAACCAGTCAGGCAGTGAGGTTCACCAGGTACAGACAGAACAGGCAACTCCTATTCTCAGGCTCACCCAACCTCCTGCCTCTGAGCTCGGGGGGCTAGCCCAAGTCTTTGCTGGAGCTACAATATCCGTGGTACTATTAGCGCACTAGCCTGAGTGGAGCTAGCACCAGTCTGTCTGTGTGGGCTGGGAGGCTTGTTCCCAACTGCAGTGTAGATATACCCTTAGTGCGCAACTTCAGGGTCGACACGACCAGTTAGGTGCAGCAAGCTAGAGCACTGGAGACTTAACCTAAGCGTGCCATAGAATATTAGGGTTGGAAGAGACCTCTGGAGGTCATCTAGTCCAATCCCCTACTCAAAGCAGGACCACCTGCTATATCATCCATGCACACTCTCTTATTTCTCTGACAAGCCCCCAGAAGTGTGGACATGCACGCTTCAGGTATAGCTAAGGAGCAGTTCAGGTGTCATCTTTTGTTCACTCATAAGGAGAGCTACAAAAAATTACAAGTGTGTGTGAAAATGAACTTGATTTTAAGTTTTGATATGAACTCCAAACATCATTCCATTACTTCCTGGTACCCTTGCCTTCATTAGTCTGTCTGTGAAATACGTAAAATTTGGGCAGCCTCTGCCTACTTATAATATCTTGTAAGGATTCAGCATGCTGCCTTTTTACTCCATCACTACTACTACGAGGGTATTCTAGTCTACAAGGGAAATCAGAATAAATCAATTTAGAAGCATTTCCATCTGGGAAGGCTTTAATGTGCTATTATAACAAATAATACTTCAGATAATTGTGAAATCTAGTGTCAATGCAGGATTAAATGAAGATCGGTTTTCCCCAGAGACCAACTACATTTTTACTAGTACAGTACAGTGGTGTTTATATGAGTATATAAAAAAAAGTTGCAGGAGAAATATACATAGAGAGACTTACCCTGAGGAATGTGGGAAATCCTTGGCCATAATATCCGACGGCAAAGTAGTCTGGTTTAGGCCTCAGAATTTTCATGATGTTTTCATAAAATTTAGCTTGTTGAATCTGAAATCAAAAATGATATTTCAGTCTTATTGTTTCAGAATCATAATACTTCAAGGAAAATGGTTTCTATTCTAACTCATTACTGGGATATCTTTTAAAAAATTTAGCATTCAGTCACTCTTTACACAGTTTTCTTGTGCCACATTAATTGTTTTATAAATTGTTTATGTAAGTATAATACACAGCTAAATTAAATGGGGTTAAACAATTTAAAATTAACTGTATGCAAAGTCACATATATCCCTAATGAGCAAGCGTGGAAACAAGCTGTCAGACACCTCAGAATTATACTAGGTAGGATCCATCGTAGCTAGCTGAACTTCACTGATAAGGTTAATGAGATAATGAACTTGAAAATGTTTCATGTCCTTACTGTAGCTTGGTAAGGACTGGGCCAGCTGTTCAGCATAATGCTAGAAGTCATGCATAAGGGGCAGACGTGTGTATGCTATTCTGAGTTGAGAACAGTGCTTCATTTTATTTACTGTGTCCTCAAGTATAACATTGCATTGAGTCTAGGCTATGTAAATGTGGTCTGCAAGAGATTTTTTAAAATAAGGGTTGTAATCTTTTGATTTATCACATGTGGAGGAAGTTTGAAAAAGTGCATGTCTGAGGAGTGGTCGGGGTTCCTCCAGATTTGTTTTTCACCTTAAACATTTCAGGAATATCAAGTTTTGACTCCCCTGGAAGCTTCAGGAAGGTGTCTAACACCTTCACTGAAATGGCAATGGTGTCAAATCTTCAAAAAAGGCTTCTTTATATGTGTGAGTAAAAAACAAAACACTCAGTGTTTAAACAGCCGGCCTAAAAATCCTGTCTTCTTTCATTTTCTCAGCTTTCATTCTACTGGCTCTTGTGATTGCACTACTTCACTAGTTCTCCATTCACCATAGACTCTTCCAGGCTTGACAGGATCTGAAATTCTAATGTCAAAAGCATATGCGGGGAGAGGGAATACTTTAAACCTTTCTTTCTACATCATAAAGAAGAACAAAAAAAGGGCACAAGGCTATTCTGTATCCTTTAGGTAATTTTTAAACCTTGCAAGTCAATTAATGCAGGGTAATGACTCCTGGGATTTGCTTGGTCTCATCTCATCTTATCTCTAGAATAGTGTCAAATGATTAAATATGCATACATACATATATAATAATTAACCACTTTTGTAAGGCTCTTTAGCACAGAAATTTTATTATTTAATTTGGTATCAAGGTATGATCGGTGACAAAGTAAAGTATGTGAAATGATCTAAAAATCAATATGGATAACAAATTCCTATGGACTCTTCAAAAACTCGTCTACCTATCTACCATTTGAGAGTTCAAAAATATTCATTTATGTTCCTGAAATGTTTTGGAGGGCCATGTATGTTCTTACCAGGTTCTGGCTTAGAAGTTCATAGTCAAAAACTTCCATTTCGTACTGTTCTGCTAGCTCTTTGCATAAGGATATTGATTCTTCCCACATCTGCAAAGTAACCACATATTCTAAAGTAAAATTACACAGGTAAAATTGAACACCAACAAATAAGGTTTTAAGGAACCACTGTTTAACTATGTATCCTTATTGTTTAGGCTATCTCTAAGCTGCAGATATTTATTAACCGCAAGTATGGAATGGAAGATTCAAGGCACCCATAATTCCAGGACAGCAGCTTAATGTGCAGAGTAAAAATATTTTATGGTTCATTATAGATAGGAACAAGTGAGTCTCCGGTACAGTTACGAGAACACCTCCAAAAATCACCTGACCTTTCAGTATCCTCCAAACATAGGTACAGCATCTCCAGGGCTCAGACACAAACTCCATGCTCATTATACTGTGCTTCGTAGGGGCTCAATCCTGTAATCTATGCTTCCAAAGTAGTCCTTGCTCAGTTGAAATGTCCTATTCCACTAAATGATCTTGAGACCAAACCACTGCCTGCCTATGAGACAGCAGTTTATTTCATTCCTCACAACATAATTTCTGTCTCAAGAAGAAACACTAGAAGGAAGGCAGGCATGCTTCAATGGACATAGAGAGCCAGATTTTCTAGTCTGCTAAGGGCATTTTGCTGTAAGCCTCACAAAGTGATTTTAAAGCAGCTGGAGACAGCAGGTGGATAACTCCCGCTCTGCAGAAAGATTTTCCACTACTTTCTGCGCCATACACCCCTCACCCCAGCCCAGATAAGGGAAAGGAGGGAACATGCTCAGGATGGGATGGCAGGGAGAGCGCTGCTATATTTGATCCTCCACTGATATAAAGTCGCTGCCAGTCTCATGAATTGGGGCCAGTCCTGCACATCTGTAACCTACACTTGGATTGGGCAGCCCTGAATCAGAGAGGTACAACCAGCTGCCTGCAGCCATCTGTCCAAGCATAGCTTGGCTGAAGTGGAAAATTAAAGCTATTGTGTATCTAGGGTTATGGTGCATGGAGAGGTATTGTTACACAGCCACTATTTCAAATGCATATAGACAGACTGCTAGTAACGGTTAAATAGCACTGCACAGTCTGTGCCACAGTATAGTAGTTGGATAGTGCAGAAACACTAGAAGTTTCCTGTCCGAAAGGCTAACATTGGGGAAACAAGTTGGTACCAGCTCAGGACAAACAGTGGAACAAGAAAAAGTAAAGGAGCAACGGTTGGTCATTGTAGGTGAACTGCATCATTCAACAAGTGGGATTGAAGCCATTCTTTTGAAGGTCAGAAATGGTATTTGCCATATATCAGCTGACCTTCAACCAGACAGAGTAAGAAAGGACTTACAGGGTCACCGTGTTCAGTGTTTTCCACTGCAAAATTATTCCCTACTTTATGTTGTCCAGTGCTTTGCTCATTCTCGTTTTCAAAGGTTCTGTGATGGGGTGTCGACCCCACCCAGGATTGACAGGGGTTGAGTTGGCCAGGTAGACCTATTATCTCCACAGGGTGAACCTGGAGAAGGAGGCAGGGAGCAGGGAACTAATTGTAAGCAGGCACAGCTGGTCAGGAACAGGTGGGGCCTATAAAGCAAGATAGCTGCTTCTGGGTAAGGGCAGTCACTCCCTGGGAAGAGGGTTTGGAGCTTGTTCACCCAGAGGAAGGATAGGAACCCAGTAGTGTAGGAAGCAGTCCAGGGAAGGAGTAGAGAGGGCTGAGAGAGGAAAGCCCAGAACTGCTGAGCTGAAGGCCCTTGGACTAGTACCCAGAGTAGAGGACAGTCCTGGGTTCCCTTAAGAGCCACTGAGGGCATGGTAGTGAATGGGGAGACTGCTAGTGCAGAGAGAGATGTTGAAAGACTTTGGTAACTGGGAAGGGCGAAGGCTGAGTGACCTAGCTGGAGGGCTAAGTCACAAAGAGGTCGCTATGGGTCCTGGAGCGAGACAGAGAGAGGGATGGTGTGTAAACTGGGGAAGGGGGCATCTGCCCCAAGAGCTAATCCCCAGAGTGACCAAGAGGAGGTGCCAGACTAGCAGCGAGTGGAGCACCCAGGACAGGTTCAATCATGGAGTCAAAGGGACCTTTACTATTGGACATCAAAAGGTGCAGGATCAGGACCTTAAAAAGGTATTTAGTGGCCTATATATGACTTGTGTGTTGACCACTTGTCTAAAACCACATCTGTCTTTCTGAGATCCTGTGTTTTTTTAGGAAGAGGACAGTGTGTTGGAAAAATAAGAACCATATCAGTTTCTTGTTAATGGAAAATGCATTGCATGTCTGTAATTATTTTATTTATGTTGGGCAACATACACTATTCCATTGTTTTGCCTGAGCTAAGAAAGAAATAGACTTTCTAGACTGGATGTCAGTTACAAACATTAGCCTTCTTCCTTTCTATATTTATTTATAAGACATATTTATTAAAAAGGAGCTGTCTATACTGAATCTCCTTTTAGATGAAATTTTACTTATGAACCACATTTCCAAAATGATTTTACCCAGTAACCAAAGAGATGTTTTTGGTATAATAAAATGATTGCTAAAGGCCACTGTTGCATGAAGTAACAGTCAGAATGTTAAAGCAGTTACCTTTCCCTTGTCAAAGTATTCTATAATTTTTTCATACAAGTTTTCTTTCAACTGTCGATGGGTCTGTGAATACTGGAATTCTGTCTGCATAACTTGAGGTGCACACTGTTCATCTGACCACTGTGAGAAAAACATTAGAGAAAACATACTTTTGGAGGCAAAGTAAAAAAATGTTAAGTTTCTTCTGTAGTTCCCTAACATCCAGAGAGTAGGGAAATGCCACAGCAAGGATGCAAATTTTTCAACATGCATCTGAATAACTATTTCATGTTGGTAACTAGGGTAGGTCAATATTTTTTGGATGGAACAGTTTTCTGTTGAAAAATGCAGGTAATACAGATTCATGTCTATTCTGATGAAATGCTCTGCGGAAAAGTCAAAACATTTTGTTCTGAGAGTATTTCAATTCTTTTTTCGGATTTTCTATCATATTAAAATATTAATGTAGTATGTATATGTAATATAGATTAATATAATATAAAAGTCAAACAAAATGAATTGAAATGTCACTATTTAAACACAACGTTTTGATGGTCCTGAATTTAAATTTTTCAGAATTTTCATTTCTCTGGAAATTTGAGGGTTTTGTGCCAATTTAGAACTTAAAAAAAAGAATATCCCATAGAACAGAATTACAGTTTCCAATCAGCTCTATTGGTCACATCCGGTTCTTAACTGGATTGTAGTGAAAATAAGCATTAGTTAAGAAAACCGGCAGAGGGAAAAATTTGAAAAGATGATCCCTGTCATTTAAAATGAACATTTTAATATGTCCATATTGCAGTAGCTGCCAGGGGCAAATTTAATTATGGCCCAATATTATATGTAGGTTTCCAATCGAGCCCTAATTTGGAAATTGTGAGTACAGTAAGGTCAGAAAAAATGCAGTAATTATGGAGGCTTAAATTGCTCCAAAAGTCACGCATCCTGTCTTTATATTATTTGGTGAAACTATTTTTGTCACAATTTTTAATTACCGATACATAATTTTAAATCATCAGCTGAGAACATCTAGTATTTCTTCTCAGGAAGTATGCTCTAATTGTCATTAAATGTCTCAGTATTTGCAACTACCAGGAAATTAGACTGCTACTAATGAAATAATTAATACAAGTCTTTGATTTATTGTTTAAAACAGATTATACACACATACACACATTTCTAAATCTGAAAATTGTGACAGCTCATTATATACATTCAAATGTGAATTCAGTAGTCTAACCTTCAAAAGAGAGGTGTGGAGCAGAAGGGCGTATGCAGCTTCCGTGTAATTCTCACAATCTAAATGAAGATCTCGCAATTTATACAAGTATCTGTTACAAAGGGGAAGAAAATCAGAGTTTAAAAATATACGTAGTGTTCTGGCAAAATGCATGAATGGCTTGCACCCACAGTGAAACTCTCCAGAGAAAGAATGAAAGATGCTATGGAGTAACCACCCTTTGAGATCTCAAGGTTATTTGGGGGGAAGCTATTAATTAACTAACATTTGTCTGGGCCATTAGATTTGTCTGAGCTTCCTTTGTGCTGTGGAGCATCTGCAAAAACGTAGGGCTAACGATCAGGCCACCTTTACCAGAGTAACTGCCATGTCTGCACCTGTGTGGGTAAAACTGAGATGTGTAACAAACACATTTGATCCACATTTTCCAGCATTTCCAAACCCGGGTGCACTCTGGAGTATTATCAAAAATAGTTTGCCTTTTGACTGCTGCCAACTACCTGCCATTGTTATGTAAATTGTTAATTGTTTTGTAAATTGTTAATTGTTTTCTCCTGTGCTATTTTGCCCTAATTTTATGTGGCTGTTTCATTTTACACATGTAAATGCCACAGGTAAGACTAAAGTAAGCAAAAAAAAATTGATCCAGTTCCTCCGCTATGGTTAAGGAGTACACAACACAGTACAACACAGAAGAGCATAGAGATGGTGTGCAGGTGGCTTGCTCCAATCCTGACCTGGCTATCACCAAGACGGGTCCCTAGCATAAGTCAGAGCAGCCTTCAGGCTGCTCTAAATTATATACCAACTGCCAGTGGCCCCAAGGGTCTATTGTTACAATAGGTGGGTATAACCATGGCCCAGCCACATCTCCTCCACCTACAGGGAGGGGAAGTGTGGCCTAGGTAGTGATTTTCCCTGCACAGGGGGACAAATTAAGGCCCTAAGTAAGCTTAGAGACAACATAAAGTCAGGTAATGCTAGAAAAGTTTTGCTGGTGTGTGTATATCTCCAGCAGAAAATTATTCAACTTGTAATTGTATGTAGTGCTGCTTATTTAGCACACGCTGTAGTCTGAGCACATACTACAAAACTGGAAAGTGTTTCTCTGTCTCTCTGTAAATGTATGATGATTTCCCTCCAACTTCATATCCAACTATATTTTCTTTATTAAAGAGAATGCAATCATTCATTCAAATAAACTTTATTCTGGAAAATAAAGTGCTGTTGATGAATATTTACAATAGATTCCAACTTTCTGAAAGCTAAGTAAAAAATAGATTAAAAAGTATAAATGAGCCTAAGGATATTATGGACTCATTGTGCATGATGAGCTACAAGGGCATAACACAAATCCATGTAGTATGCTGAAGACAGTGTGCATAAAAGGAATATTACTGCACTCTTTAAATAAAAATCAATAGAGCAATTACCATACCTTATATACATCCCTTCACGGTTAATATCTTTGTAGAAATTCTAGAGGAGGGAAATGATTACAGTGTTAGTTTCCAATATCTGTTATTAAAATACTTTTCAGGACAAAATTCCTCATGCTAAGTATTCTTTTCTTTTTAATAGTATAAACACTGCAGAAAGAAGACCATAATTCTGTATTTTGGCACATTTTATCATTATCATTTTAAAACTTAAATTATGAATATCACAGTTTGTGGTATGCATTATTTACAAAACATTCTCAATTAAAACCTGATAATATGGCTGCTTCAATCAACATTTTAGTTCCTTTATAGCACAACCATACATAGAATCTTCCAGTTCACTATCACAATTATTAGTGATGGCCCTTTTCTTTGTAAAGGGTAAAAAGGGTTATCCAAAGGCAAACATTGATGTTACATGCTCCACCAGTTAGCTACTAAAAAGGGTTTGGGATTTCTGATAATGATAGATCTAACAAATACTTCTGAACTATGTCTCTAAGGAGGCAGAGTTCAGGAAGGGGGGCAAAGAGACTGTTGCGGGCCACTTTGGTTTCCTGTGTAAGTTAAAGCAGCCTTTAGGACTATTCTAACATATGCCCATGTTAGAAATCATTCCCAAGGGACTAGTTAGAGAATAGCTGGAATATTGTACACTCCAACCACAGCATCTTCCTCGCTGCCTATGCCCTTCACTGGGGACTGCCAATGGAAGGGGGGGAGGGTGAGCGGGGACGGCATAGGTCATTATATCAGCCCTATGGCTTTTGGAGAAATTCCCTGGAATCCAGCTACTATCCAACCCCTTTATACCAAAGAAAAGACTGAGTGGTGAATGTAGCCTAGAACCAGGGTCACAGGCTTCAGTGGGACTGTTTTCATGAGTAAGCTTCATCAAGCTCAGACACTTGGCCCCTTGCTACCAGTGCAATTTACTGGCTTCTCTCCCCTCTTGATGATTTAAACACAGCATTTCTTACTTGTTTAACTCAGTTAAGGTTGATCGTGTTTTGTAGAGTGATTTCTTTGTTTTTTAAGAAAGTAGGGCAATGTGTTGTGTGGTGTAGAGGAGAGTGTGCCAGGGAGGCCAGCAGGAGGGGTGTGGTCAGAGAAATAGGACTGAGAGAACTCATTTGGTGGCTTAAGCTATGTCTACACTGGCACTTTGTCAGCAAAACTTTTGTCGTTCAGGGGCGTTAATAAAATGCACACATGTACCGACAAGAAGTGCCAGTGTGAAGAGCACTTTGTTGGCAGGAATGCTCTCCTGCAACAAAGCCACTGCTGCTCGTGGGGGATAGAAGTTTTTTGTCAGCAGGAGAACTCTCTCCTGCCGAGAAACAGCAGCTACCTTGTGTACCTTTCAGCGGCATGGCTGTAGCAGCACGGCTGTGTCACTAAAAGCCTCACAGTGTAGCCACAGACTTACAAGAGGATTGCATATGGAGAAAATTCCTCTGTAGCACAGCTATTAGCTCCAATTGGCAGGCCACTGTACTTTCAAGCCTGCTCCTCTCCCTGAGCCAGTTAATGTTAGATGCTGAGAAAGGAGAGCCTCTTGGCTGGCTACAAATAGGGGTGGGTCTTCACAGCTCTATCCCACCAGTCCTTGGCTGCTTTGAGGAGGTCAGAAGAAAGTGTTCTCTGATATTTGATCTGTTCCCTAGCCTGGACGGGAGAGAGTGGGAGGGTTGAGTGTGTATATGGATTTTTCCTTCATGTGAATAATTCCAGTGCCTCCTCTTGCTGCTGCTCAGAGTTTTGCCATGCAGCAGCAAGAGTAGCATTGTATGAGTTTCACTAATATTTCTAGACAGGCCAGAGTAGCATGAATTTCATTTTGCTGCTGCCTGGCAAAGTTATGAGCAGCAGCAGTGGCACTGAGCTGTCTGCAGACTCAGGAAAACAACACTGCATCAGTTCAGATTTGGAAGGCTCTTCCCACAACATAAAGGTAGAACATATTTTTAAAATTGAAATCTTCCACTTTGCATAAATTGATGTCTTAAGTCACTCATTTCCCTGGGCAAGCTTTACACTCACCAGTGGTGAGGAGATTTTTGAACCCCTTCTCCATTTTTATAATTTATTTTGAAAGGAGGCACATACCAATAAGTTGACAGTGCAGCTCATGCGGTTGTCCTTGCTCTCATCATTCATCACTGTTCGGTAATCCAGCAGCTTTTCCAAAAGGCCCTTTACTAGGTTTACAAATTTTTCAACTGTCTTGGAAATGTCCCGATACTCTGAAGAACATTCCACGAGTCTGCAAACAAAGAGAGAAAACTGCTTTATGGTGATGTTATAACAGGTGCACCCTGAGCTGAGATGCTTTGGGGCAAACACTATATTACAACGATGATAACTATATTACAGTATTGATCATAAAACAGGTATAGAGTGTATTTGAGATTTCCTTTGTGATTTGATAATCTACACATCTAAAAGTTGGCTGGGGAGCAAGTCCAAACAAACAAAGTATGGAATATTCACTTGTCTACAAATACAATTTCGAGGGTGTGTACATATGTTCTTTGCCGGGGTCCGATTATTTCCATTCCCCTTTACTATTTGCAAAGTCAATGCATTACAGAAACCCTCCCTCTACGTGAGTCCTGACATCAGCCAGAGAGGATTGCTGTGGGATGTTGTGGCAGTCGAGAATAGTGTCACCCACACCACTACCAGCTGGTTGGGTGAGTTTAGACACCAAAACAGAATTCCAGCTCTATCCTGTGCTCCACGAGGACATTTTACAGGCATGTAACATAATCCATGAGGACTATAGAAGTACACCTCATTTTGGATTTCAGAAATACACAAACTTTTGGGGATGAAGTAAAACAAAACTTTTTTTCCAACAAGCATACGTGATAGGAGGTAACATGAGACCAAACCCTTATAAAGGAGTGGTGCACAGGTGCACACACACAAAATGTTTATATACTGCATTCTGAGGGTACTTCTACACTGCAATAAAAGACCTGCAGTATGGCCACAGCATGATCTGTCTCGTGTGGTTCAGGCTAGGGGACTAAAAATTGCAGTGTACCTGTTTGGACTCAGGCTGGAGCCTGGAATCTGAAACCCTACTAGGGTGGAAGGCATCCGAGGCCAGGCGCCAGCCCATGTCTGAACATGTATACCACAATTTTTAGCCCGGAATCGTGAGAGCCTCCATGCCACAGGTTTTTATTGCAGTGTAGACGTAACCTGAGACAGTTCCTGCTTAATGCTCTCATGAGGATATGTCTGTATATAAGAAAGAGAGAAATACAAGTTGGATAGTTCACACTGTGTTCTGATTTTAGTTTTGTCTTTGGCATAGGACAGTTGGGGGTTCATTTTGCAGTTCAAATTTTAAAAAATGTGTTTTAAGAGAGGGCCGAAGAGCTCAAGTCTTTTTTTCTCCAATCTAAATACTTACTTCACTGTCAGAAGGCTGTGGGGTTTATGCACTTTATTTCATTACCAAAGGACACTGTGTACAGTGGTCATCACTAAAAAAAGACAACCCTGAAGTCACTTCCTGATAGGTGAGAGAGTAGGGATTTTCAGCTATTTTGTTTTAAAATGTTTATTTCTGATATTTTCTTAAGTTCAAAAATGGACAGAACACAGCATGCCCTGCATTCTCTCTTCTACAATGCTTTATGTCAGTGGAAAGCAAACACTACAGGGCACAGTGGTTTGAACAACAGAATGGTACTTTCCATCTAAAGTGTGCATCTCACAACTGATTGCCATTTCAAGATCAAAACTCAGCTCAATTTTTTCACGTCTAAGAAAAAGTAAATTGCATGCTGTGTGAGTGATGGAAGAAGTGGGCTCTTATTCAGATGAAGGGATGAGTATAGTTCAGCTTTTAAATTCTAGATTTAATAAAAATATGCTCGGAAGCTTCCTAAATAGAGGATTTTGATAATTGTCCAAATTCTGCACTTAGCCAGCATTTACTCCTTCTAGTGACCCTGGATTTACACTTGTGAAACAGAAAGCAAAATTATGCTCACTAAATCTTACTCTCAAAGCATGAACTGATTTTATCACATAACCCACAGTGTAATAAATATGGTTTACGGATGTTACTCCTAGATCATAAATGCTGGAAAAATCATGTGATGAATCAGTATGTTTCTACTGTTTGCCATCCCAGAGGTAAAAAAAATACTGAAGTTTGAAACAACATGGTCTTATTGGAACGTCGTTGTCTTATTGGTTAGGTAATAAATGCACCTGGCTGCCTGCATTGAGTTCTGGGAAAACTAATACCACTAGATTTGTGTGAAACCCTCTGCCTTTAGATTGCACAAAGTTCCAAGGAATCTTTATGGCAAACTTTGGTTCACATTCCCAAATTCATAGAATCATAGAAGATTAGGGTTGGAAGAGACCTCAGGAGGTCATCTAGTCCAACCCCCTGCTCAAAGCAGGACCAATCCCCAACTAACTCATCCCAGTCAGGGCTTTGTCAAGCCAGGCCTTAAAAACCTCTAAGGAAGGAGATTCCACCACCTCCCTAGGTAACCCATTCCAGTGCTTCACCACCCTCCTAGTAAAATAGTGTTTCCTAATATCCAACCTAGACCTCCCGCACTGCAACTTGAAACCATTGCTTCTTGTTCTGTCATCTGCCACCACTGAGAATAGCTGAGCTCCATCCTCTTTGGAACCCCCCTTCAGGTAGTTGAAGGCTGCTATCAAAGTCCCCCTCACGCTTCTCTTTTACAGACTAAACAAGCCAGTTCCCTCAGCCTCTCCTCGTAAGTCATGTGCCCCAGCCCCCTGATCATTTTCAATGCCCTCAGCTCTCCTATTTGTCCACATCCCTTCTGTAGTGGGGGCCCCAAAACTGGACGCAATACTCCAGATGTGGCCTCACCAGTGCCGAATAGAGGGGTATAATCACTTCCCTAGATCTGCTGGCAATGCTCCTACTAATACAGCCCAATATGCCATTAGCCTTCTTGTCAACAAGGGCACACTGCTGACTCATATCCAGCTTCTAATCCACTGTAATCCCCAGGTCCTTTTCTGCAGAACTGCTGCTTAGCTATTCGGTCCTCAGCCTGTAGCAGTGCATGAGATTCTTCCATTCTAAGTGCAGGACTTTACACTTGTCCTTGTTGAACCTCATCAAATTTCTTCTGGCCCAATCCTCCAATCTGTCTAGGTCACTCTGGACCCTATCCCTACCCTCCAGCATAACTACCTCTCCCGGCAGCTTAGTGTCATTCACGGACTTGCTGGGGGTGCAATCCATCCCATCATCCAGATCATTAAATAAGATGTTGAACAAAACCGGCCCCAGGTCCGACCCCTGGGGCACTCCGCTTGATAAGGCTGCCAACTAGACATCAAGCTGTTGATCACCGTTGAGCCCGACAATCTAGCCAGCTTTCTATCCACCATATAGTCCATACTTTTTAACTTGCTGGCAAGAATACTTTGAGAGACCATATCAAAAACTTTGCTAAAGTCAAGATATACCACATCTACCGCTTCCCTCCTATTCACAGAGCCAGTTATCTCATCATAGAAGGCAATCAGATTGATCAGGCATCACTTGCCTTTGGTGAATCCATGTTGACTGTTCCTGATCACTTTCCTCTCCTCCAAATTATCTTGGCCTATCCCAAATCTCAAGCAAGAGACTTGGACAAAACTCTGTAACCTGGTGAGTTTAATCCTGAAATTCAGCCAGATCATAGAATACTTGCAGCACTTTGAAAAATGTCCTGCTGAAATATTTTAATGCTCTATCATTTTCTAAGAATCTATATATTATCAAAGCCCAAAATATCAGTTAATCTAGTCACTTCTATCTATTATATCTCCACAGAAACATTCATCTCTTTCTAAAAATTTTCGCCCTTGAGAATAATTAGTCTATTGTAAAAAGAAAAGGAGTACTTGTGGCACCTTAGAGACTAACAAATTTATTTGAGCATAAGCTTTCGTGAGCTACAGCTCACTTCATCAGATGCATTCAGTGGAAAATACAGTGGGGAGATTTATATACATAGAGAACATGAAACAATGGGTATTACCATACACACTGTAAGGAGAGTGATCACTTAAGGTGAGCTATTACCAGCAGGAGAGCGGGAAGACGGGGGGGACCTTTTGTAGTGATAATCAAGGTGGGTCATTTCGAGCAGTTGACAAAAACGTCTCAGGAACAGTGGAGGGTGCGGGGGGAATAAACATGGGGAAATAATTTTACTTTGTGTAATGACCCATCCACTCCCCGTCTTTATTCAAGCCTAAGTTAATTGTATCCAGTTTGCAAATTAATTCCAATTCAGCAGTCTCTCGTTGGAGTCTGTTTTTGAAGTTTTTTTGTTGAAGAATTGCAACTTTTAGGTCTCAGAGTAGCAGCCATGTTAGTCTGTATTCGCAAAAAGAAAAGGAGTACTTGTGGCACCTAATGGGTCATGACACAAAGTAAAACTATTTCCCCATGTTTATTCCCCCCCCACCGTTCCTCAGACATTCTTGTCAACTGCTGGAAATGGCTCACCTTGATTATCACTACAAAAGGTCCCTCCTCCCCCCCCCCCCCCCGCTGGTAATAGCTCATCTTAAGTGATCAATCTCATTACAGTGTGTATGGTAACACCCATTTTTTCATGTTCTCTATGTATATAAATCTCCCCACTGTATTTTCCACTGAATGCATCCGATGAAGTGAGCTGTAGCTCACGAAATCTTATGCTCAAATAAATGTGTTAGTCTCTAAGGTGCCACAAGTACTCCTTTTCTTTTTGCGAATACAGACTAACACGGCTGCTACTCTGTAGTCTACTGTAGTAATTACAGTGAGGGTTTCCAAGCTCTGAATGTGGTATAAAGCGTAAATGTATGAGTTATATACTGGAACTAAGAAAGCTCCTTTGAAATTTATATTTTTATTAAATACTTTTCAAAGTGTTATTATTTAACAACCTTTGTAGAACATGGAATTCTTTCTAAAGAGGACTTTCAAAAGCTTTTCAGAAGTATTTTATAGGTGTACTTAAACAAAAAAAAAGTAAAGTAATTCTTTTAATTTAAAAGAAAAATGATTGCTCTTAATCATTGAAATCAGTTATTTCAATAACGAGTTCCTTTCCTGGAGTTTTCCAAAATATGGGAGAGAGTGTCAGCTAGTTATTGAATGAGGCAACTAAAAGTCAGGATTCTCCAGTACTATCCTTTGCTACTATGAACTCATCTTACTTGGGCAAGTCACTTACCGTGGATATCACATTGTTCTCCTTCCTCTTTTTCAGATGGGTAAACTGTGTTGAAATCCCCAGATTAAAAATTCTATGTAAACACACAGATTTTACTATCTTTAATTTGTGACAGGTTTCAGAGTAGCAGCCGTGTTAGTCTTCATCGGATGCACAGGAACGCATCTGATGAAGTGAGCTGTAGCTCACGAAAGCTTATGCTCAAATAAATTGGTTAGTCTCTAAGGTGCCACAAATACTCCTTTTCTTTTTTTTAATTTGTGAGTTTTTCATAGCCATCTTTTCCCTTCCTCACCTGATGCTGCCCTATGAACAATTCATCTCTAATTATTAAGCACATTACATTGCTGAGTTTGGAATGTGGCGTCAGAGTGGACATCAAACCTCCATTACTAATTCTCTCCTCTTGTCTTTTTTGGATATAAGGAATCATGATGGACAGCCAAGTCACACCGACATACCAGCTGTGGATACTGACCCCTACCATATGTAAGAATAAAACCTTTTTGTAACTCTGACCCATCTCATGACATTGGGGCCAGGAAATAAAAATCAGTCTCTTGCTAACAGTATTACATATCACACCTGCTGTCAGAATAAAGCCAAACCTTCGTCTAAACAGCACAAAGGAAGCCACGTGAATTGCTCAGACTGGAAGGGTCCATAACAGTGAGGTCATTGAAACCCTTACAAATTTTTCTGGAAAAAGTAATAATGGAGGAAAATCAGCCTTGCAGTAAATCCAGGGGCATAGTTCTACAGTGGTGTCATGAAGGGGATTGCAACCTGCTAGACAAAGTCATTCCACATGTCAAGAAAACTCTGGGGCGTTCACAAGAAAGTCACTTGGGAAATGCTTCTTTTCTTTACAAAAAACCTCACCTTCCAGGTGAGACTATTGACCATTAGGTAACAGACCTACATACTGAAGTTGTCAGTTTCAGCACACATCAAAATGCATAAGTATTTTTAATGTTGGGAAGTCCAGCTCTATAGAGGAAAAGCAAAACCTCTTCTTTCTCAAAGCCTGCTGTGATATATACAAGTTTAAACTACTTCATTTTAATATTGCCTCAGATCTTTGTTAATCTGCATGTGCTGGCAGTAACTGTTGATGATCGGACATATAGAGAAAAAATCAACACCACGAGAAAAGCTATGCAAAATGAGAGCCTTAAATTGAACATAAACAAATGATGAACGTGCTTAGTTACATAGAAGATACAATGGAGTTCTGTGGGACCCCTGCATAGTAATGGAAAAATCCCCAGACAAGAAAGCCTCACAGAGATCTAGGGGCACGTTACAATATCCTAGCAAATTCATCAGAATTAAGCGTTTTATCCAGAATGCTGCTTGGAGAGAATATAGGATGTACTGGGTTGATCACTAAATGAGAAGTGTTTGGGGGAAAAAAAGTTGTCAATGGAGAACCAGTACTGGAACATTTTGAGATTAACAGAGGCCAAGTTCTCAGATGGTATAAACTCACATGGATTGGAAGCTGACTTGCGAAATGAGCTCCTGCTTCTAAGGAAACCATTGTACAAAACATAGACTTCAGAAAAAGTTCACAAAGTGCACAATCACATATTAAATATGAAATACATGCATGGAAGAAGCTTCTTGCAGTAGACGTACTTTCAAGAACATCTTTCAAGTAGTGAAAGCAAGGCACTGCAGGAAGAGCAGTTCAAAGTAATTATGACTCAAATTCTATGCAAGTTTGAAACAGAATTTGAACAGCTTAAATGAGAAACTGCAAATGTCCCAAGCTTGAGATAGTATTTCTATATGGATGGCCAAAAGAAAAAGGCCAGGTACTTCCAAGCATAAAGAGTTACTGGAACTATACTTATTAAATTGCAGGAAATTATGGTCACTGCCATTCTCAATCACAGCATAATGTTGGAAATACTAAGCATACTCTCCTTCAGTGCCCGTATGAGTACTGAGAACTGTAAGAAGATAGCCTGAGATGCCATATTCTTACCAGGCATGAATGCCTTGTCAAAGATAAAATATACAATGTGAAATAAATACAGGAAAGGGAATGCAAAAGAACTAAAAAAGAAAAAAAAACACCACCCTTGAGATTCCTGAATATCCTTGATACAGGGTATGCTGATCCGTTTGAGTTAAACAGGAACAATTATCTCTTTTAGTGATCAACTACCTATATTTTCTTAGAAATTAAGCTGTTGGAAAATACACCAAAAATTAACCCACTGACATTTCAATGGGCAAAACCATTTAAGTTTTACTAAAACAGATGCACTCTGTGCTTTATTTGTAGTCTCATCTTATATTGCCGTTACTTGGATTCTGTGTAATGGATTTATTTTTCAATGAAATTACTTGTTTTGGGGGTAGAAAGAGATAAGGAAATGGGTCATTAGGTATTTTTCTCATGAACACACTACTTACATTGACTCAAACAGCTGCATGTACTGCTCATCTCCACGTCCTCCTTCCACTTCATGGTCCAAATTTAAAATTATTTCATTTTCAAACTTGAGGGAGGGAAAAAGACAAAACATGGAATAATGCACAATACATGTGTAAAGAGAAAATTCATGTAAGAGAAATCAAGATATCCACAGGTCAAATAAAGCCTAAACTGACATGACAAACACATCACATTTTTCAGGCTTAAATGGAAGAATCATTTCCAGTTAAATAACACTCTTGAAATAACACTCTTTAAATAACTTTTCCTTAGCACAAATTATTATAGTGCCTGAAGGATACCTTTGAAGTATTTGCATTATAGGTTTCCAAACCGCTTCCTAGCTTGAGATACAGGACTTCAAAGTGAAACAGAGCTATTTTATTCCAGATTACTCTGAATGAACAAATTTATAGAATATAATGCCTTCATACAATTGGTTACTCTCAGGCCACTGTACATTTTTACTAGGAATGAGTAAAATATAAAATAGCAAAAATAATCAATAGAGAGAGAGAGAGCGAGAGAGAGAGAGAGAGAGCGCGCGCAATGGAATTAAAATTTGTTGTAGTTAGACACATTTTCTCTCTTTGCAATCTTAGAAAGGAATCAGCCAAAAGATTTAATTAAGTAACCTAAGCAGTTACAGGTGAAATATAATGCATGCTATACATAAAACTGTTGGGCTGGAAACATTCATCAAGCCCAGTGATCCCAAAACTGAACACCACCTACCTGCTATTTGCTTTTCTCTAAATCTCTGGAATATTTCAAGGTCAGGAATATCTTTGGCAATTACGCACTAAGGAAATGGAAGTATTTTCTTCCATGATATTTGAGCTCAGCACTTTGCAGGATTGGGCCCTTACTTATAAAGAGTTCAAATCTCTTTTGCAAAGTGGACTATTTGGAAATATTAAATACATGAGTATCACTCCTTTTGTCTCAAAGGACCCCAAAGTCCCATTACTGTCTGGATGTTTAATGGGCTGACATTTTCTCCTACCATTACGCAAGGTGTTTATGGAATGCCTGGCATGCCCTTTCCTTAGAATGGTAAAAAGGTAAATGGCAACTGTTTAAAAGGTGCCTGCTCTGTACAAGGATCACCTCACTCAACATATACAAAAGATCTCTGAGGCGTATAAAAGCAGCAGTCTTTCTGCAATACACACACAAACAGAGCACTAAGAAAAGGAGTACTTGTGGCACCTTAGAGACTAACCAATTTATTTGAGCATAAGCTTTTGTGAGCTACAGCATCCGATGAAGTGAGCTGTAGCTCACGAAAGCTTATGCTCAAATAAATTGGTTAGTCTCTAAGGTGCCACAAGTCCTCCTTTTCTTTTTGCGAATAGAGACTAACATGGCTGTTACTCTGAAACCAAACAGAGCACTATTTGTTTTCCCCAGAGTATATAGAAAATATGTATCCAGTTGAAACTATAAGGGAGAATTAAGACAGAAGAACATGCTATACATTATACATATACTATACTATACTGCTACATTCAGCCAGATAATGGAGGCCCCAGATATACTTGTGTGCAACACATAATGGGGCCTCTTTAAAGATAAGTAATGAGGGCCGCAGTTTTATATATCATCCAAAACTTGTTTCTGTGTCTCCTTTCACTATGCCTCCATATTCATACAGACTTTGGAGGGGAAGTGTCACCGGTTGAATCTCAAATTCATCTTGCAACTCCTTGGTTTTGTTTGTTATTTTTCATCCAAGTAATTATAACATCTAACCAGAAAAAAAACAAACAAACTTTGAAGGTGGTATCGTTGTATAAGAAGTCTCTTTGCTTTGTCAGAAGATTAGAGGTTTATGGTAAATTTTTAATCCTATCTAATTTAACTGTGGATGTTCTCATTATGCAGATCAACATTTTTGCCTCAATAATACCTTGTGGCAATGAGTTCCACAGATTAGTTATTCATTGTATTAAAAAGCATTTAGCTTGGTGAGCCATCAAGTTCTTTGTATTAGGTTGCTTGGGTCTAAAAAAGAAATATTAGACAGCTGAGACAAAAATAATGGAAATAAATATGTGGTATTTCCTAGTACATCATGACGTATCTCCACCGACTTCAGTGGAGTGATGCCTTCTTGTAACAGGATCCAATTTGGCTTTAAAACTTCTTGCTGTATTTTTCTAGTGAAATAAAAAGCCTCAAAGACTTGAGCAGACTTTAATACCAGCCACACAGAGTCTGCAGTCTGTGCTTTGGTTAGGTGGATTTGAGTATGAAGTGTCATGCTACTTTTGGATGGGTTATAAATTGAAATGCTCTTTAGTATTGATAATGAGGCAGTTCTATTTCCTTTAAATCCTTGGGCCTGTTAAGATTTCAGGAACTGAGTCCTGCGCATGTGGAGCTTGCTGAAACCACTTCCATTCATTTACTTAGTGACCTTCTACAGCTATTCGCTAGGAAAGATACATGACTTCTATAGCCTGGCTATGAGTAAATATCCACCTTCTATCTAGTCTTGCAAGTACACTTCATTAGTGAGAGCTATTATGTTGGATCATATTAAAGAAGTTCTGTATTAAAATCACAAATGAGTTTGATTCCCCATAGTTTAAATTCCAGGGTATTACTAATTAAGAGGTCTCTTGGTTTTTGGTACTGCTTCTCTCCCTTTATGCGTGACACTTGCAAGCTGCTAATTGTTAGTACATTCTAAGACAGAGACTGTTCTCAGAGCAATTCTTTGTAACAACAACTCCTCACACAGAGAGAGACTCAAAGCAATACTCTAACAACAGAAACAGCACCCAGAGACTCCCTGCCCTTTTGTTGTATTCATCTCGCTTTGTTAACAATTGTGATTAAAACAGAGAGGGAGGATGTATGTGGATGGATGCTTGGTGTGGATAATAACTGATCAGGGAACTGCCAGCCTAAGAATCCAGTGTCCATCGACTGAAGAAGGCGTAAAGTGGAAATAACCAGAGGACCCCCGGATGGCAAACTGGAATCCACCCAACCGTCTCAAGAATGGGAGAACCAAAGAACAAGGTAACATCTGGCAGCACGGAGCCGTCAGGAATGTGCCATCTGCTGATTGATTCAGCAACAGCATGATGAAGCAATTCTCATAGACTGGCATAGGAAGAAATTCCTATAAAAATGGACTCTAGAAGTGAGAACTTTGGGGTCTGATTCTGCAAACCAACTTCCAGGAGCATCAGATGAGCATCTGACAAGGCTCTGCTCCCTCCTCTTGTCCACGCCACCTAGCCAGTGGCTTGGCATGAGCAACTCTGAGGCTGGTAACTATGATAACAACCTTGCAGAACCTCTGTGTGTGTGTGTATGAATGAATGTGTGAATAAATATGAAATTGAATGGAATGTTACAGCTATAACTGCTTACTATGATTCTTTCTGTATTCACAATAAATGTGGCATTTTGCCTTTTCCCCTTTAATAAGATCCTGCTGGTTTTTATTTTATTGGTATAACATTATTGTGTCGTCATTAGTAGCACTGTTAGTTTTTCTTTTTTGATAACTGTCAGGAAAGAAAAGTAGTTTTAGAATATGTCCACAGATGGCTGCAATAAGTGAAGGATTTAAATGACGACACGGAAACATGAATAAACATGGCTTACTTGAATGGAAATATTATTACATATGAATTAATCTTTCATAAGCGAAAGTTAAATCTTTGTAAAGATTAATTTAAATCCATGTTTATTTTAATAATGTTTTCATTTACTCTGCAAAGAGGTACACTGTTTACTGTTCTTAGAAAAAAGGTTTTCAAAAGCAAGTTTTTTTGCATCTCTCTTTTTGGTTGATGTTTTATCAGCTCAATTATAGCAAATACTAGTGGCTTACCACTTTGATCATGTTCTTTCATTTGGAGGTCTTGTTGGGACATTCCAGCAAGGATGGTTTACACATACCCTTAATCACTATACTTTTTTGTTACAGTTCAAATCACCTCCATGCCTGGGTATAATTTCTATTTTGTGTCAATGGGAGTTACATGTGTATACTGGAGGCAATAGTTCCCAAAAGGAATATATTTGTATGTTGTGGACTTAGATCTACAATACATCAACAAGCACTCCTATGGTGGCGTTTCTCCTCCCCACCCCCAGGTTGGTTCCTAAAATACAGCACCAAATAATTATAAAGATATTTTCTAAGAATGGCTGAAGTACAGTAGTATTTGATAAATTTAGCTAATCCTCATATCCTTAACTGAATTGGGTGGAAATTTCAAAATCTCCTGGGAGATGTAGAAGAGCACATCCCATTTTCAAAAGTGACTTAGGCACACAGAAGACTAAAGTTTAATTGAATGGTTCCTAAGTGCCCAACTCATTTTTGAAAATTTTACACTTGATCTTTTTAAAGAAAATATCTTACTTCAGAAACAATATTACTGTCCACTTTGAAACTATCCATTAACAAATACTAGAGCTTCAATGCTTGCATATTATGCATAAATATACTTTATTTTCCATTAGTGTCTCTTCTTTAACTTTACAAATCCATGAGTTTCATACTAATCCATGAAAATTGCTAAATTACTACAACCCAATTCCTTTCCAATGTGTATTTTTCTCGAAGTCCAAACTTCAACTGTGAATTTTAAAAAAGTTTATCTTAATCATGCCAATGCAATAGCAGGCAAAGAGGAGACATGCTTTTCAACTCATAAAAGTGATTTTTATTTCAGAAGTAACACTATGGAGTCCAATGAAGTATAACAAACAGCATAAAATAATAATGCAGCATGAGTGACTACCCAATGAAAACTATTAGGCAATTATTCTTAAAGTGTACTAAAGTGAACATCTTTGTTCCTCCACACTGAAGAAAAATATCACCTGAAACATATTTATATCTGCATAATGTAAGGGCCATGTGAGTGTCTGGCATCTTCTAGGTCCTTAAGCTTTTGTCCTTGAAAATCAGTCAGTTTGACTGATGTGTTTCCAAAGTTTTTTGCTGTATGTAGGTCTATGCATCTATCCTAACAGATGAAGTATAAGCCAAGAAGAGAAAAACATTTTTAAGAAGGCAAAATATAGGACTATTAGGACATGGAAAGAACAGATGCACAGAAGCAAAGTGGTTTTTAATCTTGGCCTTAAACCAAAAGACTTGTGCTAAAATACTAAACAAACTGGAAATTTCATCTGCCACTTTGTTCCAGGTTCAGCTAATAGAAAAATCTTGTCCCATATAAACTAAAGCACAGATATACATGTGCACACACCAGTAATGTACTCAATTTTTTCAACTAACATTGTAGATAGTGATATGTAACCGATTTTTTGTACTAATTTAATGTCTTGTTTGTCATTTATCAATATGTAGGCAGGCTGATTGATATCATTTACCTAGAGGTGCCATTGTGCTAGGTGCTGTACAAACACAGCTTAAGACAATCCATGCCACAAAGAACTTATCATCTGATACACAGGAAGGGAAACAAAAGGACAAAGAGGTAAAGCAATTTGTCTAATGACACACAGTAGGTCAGTCACAGAGTTGGCACTAGAATCCAGGTCTCCTGAGTCTTAGTACAGGACCCTACTCACTGGACCATACTTGTTTGTTATGTGAATTTTTTGACAAATATTGCATGAACATTAGAGCTGGTCAACATTTTTTACTATTTTTTTCCTGTTTTTATCAAATGTATGTTGACAAAATTTTTCTATATTCCAGATGAAAAATTTCATGGGGAGGAAAAGCATTTTCCTTAATAAAACCTGACTTTCACAAACTTTATTTTCAAAGTTTTTCCAGTTAGAAAACAGTAGAGATCTTTGAAAAGTGGGTGCTTAATCACTTTTACCTTTTTTACCTCTCCACTCCCCCCACCGCCTTTTCCAGTGGAAGAAAGGGGGAAGGGATTTTAGAAGGGAGAGAAAGGGGGAATAAAAGAACAAATAAAAAAAATCAGTTTCTGAAAAACAAAATTGAATGGACATGTTAAGATTAAATGAACATTTTTGTTTCATTTACAAAATTGTCATAGAAAACCTTAACATTTTGGTTGAAAAGTTTAGAAATGGGATTTTTCCTTTGACGTTTTCTGTGGGAAAAGTTTGGGTTTTATAACCAACTGTAATAATATTTCATGTCTTGCAAACTATGCACTAGAACTATTACTTCAGGTATTCTGCATTCAACACTTATTATTTCTGCAGTATGATCATTCATCTCTTACATCTCGTGATAGTGTGTCTGTTTCATGTTTGAATGACTGGTTTGTTTACAAGCAGAAATAGGGCTACATTAAGTCACTTCTTTTGCACTTGCACATCAACATAGTCACACAATATTTCCTGTTTTTTTCACTTTCTGCAAACAGAAAACTGCACAGAGTTCACAGTTAAATTTTAAGAAATGCTTAATACCTTTTTGCAGCAGATGTCCAGCTCTATTCAAAATCTTTAAGAATAATGTAGCTATTAAAACAAATCCTGTGTATCTTTCTATTACCTTTTTGAATTCTCCTGTCTTATGATATTCACACAGCATCATATCAAAGAAGATTGGGATTGTGGCTTTTCGTAGCTCAATTTCTGGAATCAGAGTCATTTCCAAGATCGGTCCAACCATCCCCGGAATAAAGCAGATTTTATTCTGGCCTAGAAAAACAATGGTGAAAGGAGTATTGGAAAAGAGAAGAAAACTACCACTTTGGTAAGAAACAATCTCAGATTTTTAGCCATTAAAATACTGTTATAACTATGACAGGTTTCAGAGGAACAGCCGTGTTAGTCTGTATTCGCAAAAAGAAAAGGAGTACTTGTGGCACCTTAGAGACTAACCAATTTATTTGAGCATGAGCTTTCGTGAGCTACAGCTCACTTCATCAGATGTTTACCGTGGAAACTGCAGCAGACTTTATATACACACAGAAATCATGAAACAATACCTCCTCCCACCCCACTGTTTTAGTAATGGTCTCACAGTTAGTTACACATCCTTCTCAATTCTTTTTCAGAAGCAGAAGGCATATTGAGGGATATATTCTCATTTCAAGGTTCTGGGTCATTTCCTGCTTGAAATGAGCATTCATGCCAGAGGAATGAATTCACACTTTGGCATCCTTTCAATTTTTCAGCTTTTCACATCTTACTGAATACTGTACTGTACATGCTTGCTGTAGAAAGTAATCAGGCTCTAAGACACCCCGCTCCCCCCTCCCAAAAAAAACCCAATCAATTGGAGAGAATATTACAATAGCTATATGACATATTCTCTTATCTAAGTTATAAAGGGGAGAAAAATCAGCCTTTATTCTTAATGAATAATATCAACCATTAAAAATCCAGAACGGAAATTGTATCCTGGTAGGTATTCTAGATCATGTGCACAACTACTGAAAAGCCACCTGAAATAATCCCGTAGCACAGCAGTTACATCAGTTGTCGGAGAACCCCCAGATTGTGCTTTAGGAGACATCTGCAATTATGACAGATGATAGAAGTGTTGTAGCAACTGTCGTATCTGAAAAGAAACCAGGTACTAAATATTCTCCAAAAGCTGATCGTTTCATAGAAAAAAGGATTTTCTATATGAATCTGACCACACTTGTCCATGAAATCCAGTGTCCTGCCTCTGGCAGTGTGTAATATCTGGTGCTTCCATGCAAAGAGAAGAATCCCCATCAACAAATGTGACCAACTTTACAATTCCTTTGCCTTATTTTATTTATTAAAAAATTATATAAGGTGCCCATCACTATAGCATCTGGGCATCAGTACCACACTAGTCTGATTTGCCTCTCACATCAGTTTCTTACTGGTGTGATGAGATGTGGTGCAGAAGTCTCTTTCAGGAATCACTCTAGGAGATGGAGAGAATCTAGGAAAAGAGCTTCCCCGTCCATAGTACAATGAAGATGAACACAAGGAGAACTTCTCCAAAGGGGAAGTTGCAACAGGCTACAGTGTATGATCTAAATCTGTGTATGATTTAACTGGGAATTGATCCTGCTTCAAGCAGGGGGTTGGACTAGATGACCTTCTGGGGTCCCTTCCAACCCTGATATTCTATGATTCTACAGAGATTCTGACTCCCTGACTCTGAGATATAGATTGCATATACCTGATAAAGAAATATACTTTTTAAAAACAATTACTGGAAACTAAAGAAAATAAATTTTACTGTTACTAAACAATGGCCACCCTTTCATTGGAGCAATACTTACCACTTATAGGGTTTTATCACTTCAAAGTCTTTAAAAGACTGATCCTGAAAACACATAAGGTTCTATCAGATGTATGGCTTACCATCATGAATAGTCCCATTGCAATCAATTGAAATGTTGATGATAGTAAGCACTACATTTGGTCGTTAACTTTTGCAGAAGCAAGTCCCTTAAGTCTCTCACCTTTTTGCAGTAGGTCTGCTATGTTTCTTTACTTTAAAGATAGGAAACTGAGACACAAAGAAGTTAAGGAACTTGCCAAAGGACACAGGATAGTTAGTTCAGAGCCAGGATTAAAATGTTCCTTCCTTCTAGTCTCAAATTCAATCCACCTGCCTATGTTACCTTTTTGTTCCCTACTCCAGGCAGCACAGTCTAAATAAACAATTTGGTCTGTGTATGATTTACGGTATTTACATTTGTTATGAAGTTTCTTTTCTTTAAATAGACAGTAGCAGTTTGGAAATTAGATCAAATAAATCCAAGGAGAATTAATATCAAATGATGGTTATGACACAGATAACACAGCATGGTTTTGTGGTGTGAATTTTCTAAGATGCCCTTTTTTCTGGCTGCTGCAATGGCATAGATTGTTAGATTTGGGGAGGGGCAGTAGAAGCAGAGAATGATCCTCAGACAGGCAGTTTAATACAGAATGAATGGAATGACTCCAGAGATGTTCTGCAATGTTACTGGATTTTAGAAAAATAGCAGCGGAGATGTTTTTGGTTCACAAAGCAAGGGTTGATTTGGGAAAAGAGATTAACTTAAAAGGCACACCTACTGCTACCAGACTCTAAAGAATGAGAATGACAACAGTGGTTTCAAAGGCTTTCTTTTTCTTTTGCTCTTACTTGGGCAGATTCTTTTTTTTTTTTAAATGATTGCTTTGAAAGCTAAACAATCAATACACTAAAATAGTAAGACTTAACCAGACCTGCCTGAATAATATTTGTTGTATTAAAATCTCTGTCTAAAAGCAAAGAAAAGCTCTAGTCTTCAATTAAGAATTTGCAGCGTTTAAAAAAACATTACCACAGAGTACCTGATCATTAGGATGAGTGTGTTTGATGCAAGGTATTGAGAACAAACATTCAAAATGCACAGGCAAGCACGGACATCTGCATCCAGTTGGGCAACTGCACAGTTAAATATAGATATCAAAGAAATCTCATTGCTCTTCATAAAGGAGACTCAAACAAGCCTTTTAGCCGAAAAGAATATTTTCCATGTCTTTATGCAACTAACACAGCCCCTTTCAGTACATATTTGAAAAGTCTAATTGATTTCATAGTACAGGGTGTTATAACAGCCTCAGCAACTGTCTGCTTTAGTTTTTGCTTTCTAATGCTCAGATAGCTCCTGCTTCTACATACTCTCTCCCTTCTGGTGTCTAGCCTAACTTTGGTGATGGAGATACAGACCTATCTGGACACACTGTAAGGGGAAAATTTCATGCCCCTCAAATAAGATGTATTGGCGCACAAATTCAGGGAAAAAGACACACTACAACAATGTTTTGATGTAAGGAATCCTTGTCACAATGAAGTCTTGGGTAGAAAGGTGAATACATTACAGAATCTTGTACCTATCAATACAATGGGATCCTACATGTGCGAAGGAAACAGACACTGCATTTTCCACAGTAATCCTACATGTTAAAGGGGGGGAAAAAGTGATGGGATAGGCAGTACTCATGTTTGATACTCAACAGAAGTCAGTCATTGCTTAGCGTAGAGCAAACAGCTGAAAATGGCTCATTTGTAGATAATTAAATTTGCCTAGAATACCCTTAGACCAACAAAATGGCAGGAAAGCTTATTATGCAGCAGCCTTTAATGATACCCTATATTTTCTACTTGTTGATGACTTGTTGATTTTTTGTTTGGAACAAATTATCTTCCTCCCCAATCCATTTAGACTTTTAGATCTCCCCTTACATAAAAGAAAGTGACTCCTGGGGCTGTAACAGAAGCTATGATTGTTTGATAGGTTGGAGTTGCTACATGTTCAGTAACCAAAAAGGACATTTGTCATTTCTGAACTCTACCTCTAAGATGCACAAACATAATGTGAGCTGACATCTTTCATAGTGTAGCTTTATGCTCTCTTTTCAGAACCACCATGATTTTAAAGTAACCAGACATATTTTCCTCTCCATTTCCTTAATATGGGACCCTACATTCAATTTTCACTGGTTAGTACACAGAAAAGGAAGGGGTACCATTTGGGAAACAAAGGAACGTGATTTAAGATTGGGTTCTACATCACAATGCTTTTCTCTTTCATGTAATCATTTAGAGGAGTATGAAAAAGGTAGCTATACGTACAGTACAAAATATTTAGGGTCTGCTCACATTCAAGTAATTAGAACAATTGGATCGGACAATAGGATAACTTCAACAGAAGCAAGACTCTTAGGCTGAGATTTTCAAAGCTGCCTGATGTATTTGGCCATCCAAATCATATTAATTTTAATGGGAAATCAGCGTCCAAATCCACTAGTGCCTTTTAATCAGCCTTAGTCTCTATGACTGGTGTACATATAAATGAAGTGTAAGCACATTCCATTATCACTGCCACCAGCAAAATAACTTCATCTGCATGGTGTCTGTTATACCTCTGAAAACTCACAAGCTTCTCTCTTAAAATTTAAGCAAGGATTCTCAGAAGATTTCAGCAATATTGTCTAAAATCCACACCAGAATTAGTTACCTTTTCCCCTGCTGTGGTTTTGTATTCAAACTGGATCTAGGATTCCAGAAAGTCTGAAGGTTAGGGGCTGTTCGGAACCACATGTTAGTTGTGGGCCCATCACTATTATTACACCCTGCATACAGCCACTTAATGTTACTTCTGCCACTGCTCTTTTGTGAGTCCCAAACTGAAATGACGATGATGATGATGATCTTATCCTCCTTAAATTATTCTCACCCTGCTTTTAGGGATGTGAGTAGAAGACTATATATGCGATCAATACCTGTGACTATATGGTGATACAGAGACCTGGAAAAGCCTAGAATTTATTTCCGCTAATCACCCAGAAGACTAGATGTCGGTCTTGCTATCTGAACCTGTAAAGGTCAAACCCTCTGTCCTCTTACAAACTCCATCATAGATTTTAAGGTCAGAAGGGATCGTTAGATCATCTAGTCTAGCCTCCTGCATAACATGTTCCATCCAGTTAACCCTGTATTGAGTCCAGTCATCTGCATTTCACTAAAGCATATCTTCCAGAAAGGCATCTTGGTTTGAAGGCATCAAGCGATGGAGAATCCATTACATCTCTCGATAGTTTGTTCCAATGGTTAATCATGCGCATTGTTAAAAATGTGTGCCTTATTTCTAATTTGGTTTTACTTTCAGCCATTGATTTTTCTTATGCCTTTCTCCACTAGATTAGAGAGACTTTAAATATCCCATATTTTCTCCCGTTATACTTGTACACCATAATCAAATCACCTCATTATCTTCTTTTTGATAAGTTAAACAGACTAAGTTCTTCAAGTCTCTCACTGTAAGGCTTTTTTCTAGTCATTGAAACACATTTTGGTCCACTCCCACCTCATTCCAAAATCCTGGACTGTCTTCAGGGGAGGGATAAACAACCTCTCTCATCTAGACCTACGAAGCAGGTAGCCATTCCCTGTTAACTGCTGAAGTTATCTGACACTTGCCAAAGAGAACGCCTATCCTCAACTGAAGGGCAAATACAACAGGATAATTGTGATCTTAAAAAGGCAGTCACTTCACCAAGGAAAACCAACAAATATGGCTTCTGCTGATTCACCTGAATATCTGGGGCTAGGCTGAATAAACTAGGGGCCTGGCAGGAATGCAATGAGTCTTATATAATTTGTCCAACCACATCTTGAAACTTTTAGCCAGAAATATACAATTAAGAGGTATCGTGAAATTTTCACAGCTATCCAAGGGAGGAGAAATTCCATGGACTCAAAAATAAGCACATTTTTTAGGTTTATTTCATGGAAATATTTTGTGTAGCTCTGTAAGAGATGGGTATGTTTAAAATATAAATATTATATTTATCCTCCACTGGCTAGATTTGTGAGCGTTGGTATATGTTTGTAATAGCTAGTTTAAATTTAGTGGTGTGTCTGGTGTCTGTTACCTCCACTTTAATTATGCTACTGCCTTAATCCCAGGTTATTTCCATTCTGAACATATGTTTATTTTGCTGAAATGAAATGCATTTTTTCCACTGGCACTTAGTCATAATTCAGTGACATTGTATTACAGTGAAACTCTAATAGAGGAAAATGCTAAATTGAACAGACGTGGTTTGATTTTATCAACCTTAAAAAAGTAAAAAATTATCAGATCTGTCTAGGGATTTGTGAACAAACTTCAACTAGCAGAGAAATCTTACTCATGTGTCAATGTCCTCTAAAATATTAAAATCACTGGATAAGCTTTTGGATAATTCCTTGGGCTGCCAAAGGAAGAACATCTGACAGTCTGAAAATCAGATCTATTTAAAATTCCTGAATCATGTCACAGACTCTTTCCAAGAAGAAGGGGGGGGGGGAAGGGGAGGAGCACTATAGGTACAGATGTGCTTGAGACTGTATAGTTACTCACCAAGTTTGTACCACATGTCACGGATAGCAAAGCCAATTAAACATCTCATATCCCCATATCTAGAAGAGAAAAGGGAAAAACCACTGGTTTTACTGACATTTTATTATGACAGTAAAGAAAATATCATCTAAGATATTGAAATTATACTTACTTATTCAGGATCTTATTGTACTTTGCATGGGAGAAATGTTCTAGTTGCAGAGAGTCCTGGGTAATAAAAGCCACTGCCAGATGAAAATAGTTGTTCCACAGCTGTAAATTGAATATTAGGAAGTTATAATGGTTTTGAACTAACATGAGAAGTAATATTAAAAACATGTGTAAACCTTGATGAAATAAACCTTGATTGATGAAGGAAAATGATGAAAGCAGCATGAGGTTTTAATATTATGCAGAGTTGTCTGTCATTACTACTACACAATTAGCATAAAGGCAAGAGAGATGGGGTTTTATAACCACTGGTCTGCATTTGCTCTTAACAGAATTTGAATAAATAGTGCTAATGGAGATTCATGTGGGGATCATTAGGTAATAACAATAAACCACAAACCACAGCAGGGCTGGTTAAAATACAGTACATCCCACTACTCACCAGATCCTAAGGCATCCAATGCATTTATGCCATATTTGATTGTCTCCTTAACAAAGGCCTGGCCTCTTTGTGCCATACTCCAACTGCAGTTTTTGTGCAAAACTCCCATTTATTCTGAAGGGAATTCTGCACATGAAACAAGGGCAAAATACGTGTACCTCCCATGTGTACCTCCCATTAATGATGAGTCATTAACACGCACTGAGAGGAGAATAACCCCTATATTTTAAGTGTGAAATCCTTCCTTATTGCTAATAGCAGATTGGTTTGTTCTCTTGCTAACCAAAATGAAATACTGGGAAATCCTGCCACGTGCTTTAATGATAAAGGATTATATATTGCAGCGGTATGAGAGTTTTCCTACTGGAAGAATGGCTGGCCAGCCCAGGAGAAGCTAAAGCAAATGCTAATTTAAAAGGCTTGTAAATAGTAAGAAATGCTTCTAATTGGTTTCTTTTTTTAAAAAAAGTTGTTTAAATATATCTAAATGGCTGAAAATGATGATTAGTATATGCCTATAGTAAATGCATTCAGCACTTATTTAGAAGTATTAAACAAAATGCACGTGACTGTTACAAACTATTCCCCACCAGTTAGATAGAGAGAAACTCACCGCGGTGCAAAGGGCTTGAAAAAAAAAACCCTACATACCGTGTAAGTATTAAAAGCATAGTGGGTTTCACCCTTTGAGATCTGAAGAGCTCTTTGTGCACAACCTAAAATTATTTGGAACAGATACCAACATCCAGCAAAACATATATATAGAGAGAGGGTAAAATGGGAACATTTCCTGTAGTAAACAAAATCTTCAAATCCTTTCTACAGCGTCAAAAAGCTGCTGCATTAAGATTAATATATTCCTTTCTTAGTGCCCCACAGCTTCTCTACAGTTTTCCTTTCCAGATTTTGCTTATTAAAAAAACCTTATGGAAGGACTCTACAGTAATGGTTTTGTTCCTGTCCTGTTTTAACTATCTACAATCCATAAATCATATTCATCCTTGGTGTAACTCCACAGAATTCAGTCAAATTACACCAGGGTTTCATTTGGCCTGGATCACATTATACAATTCAATGATGTCCTAAACTGATCCTGACAAATCAGAATCTTATTGGAACCTACATTTGGATATTAACACAACACAGGACAGCATCTTGTCTGTTACCAGTATTTAAATCACACCTCAATCTAATTTCTGACAGTATATAGCAATGCAGAATACTTGACGACATTTCCCCCCAAGATAAATATTATTCAGGTTCAATAACTCCAGTTTTTGCCTTATTAAAAATATTTGACTGATTAATTTGAACCATTTTGTTGCTTTTGAAGACTTTGGGGTTCTATATCTATTGATGAATGTGAAACATACCATAAACAGGTACATTACATTGGTGAAAGTGGAAATTGCTCATACGAAATCCTGCCCACCAATAGGTCTGGAGATGCATGATCTCTAATGCCAGGATTGACACTGAGCCCCCAGGATAAGTTCCTAATGTCTCTCCCTCAATTTCTCTACTTGTAAAATGCAATCCCATCCTCCCCTGAAGTGATTCACTGTGTAGGAAACACAGTATTTTGCATTTCTAAAGTATATGCTAGTCAAGGACCTTTAAGCTCTTAATCACTGAATTAAGCCCCACAACACTGTGCAAGGTATAGCATTGGCCCCATATTATAGATGGGGAAATGCAGGCAAGGAAAAGTCAAACACCCCACTGGTAAGAAGAGAACCCACACTGCATGACTTCCAGTGCTGTGTTCCATGCTTCCTCAGAACTTCTCTAACCTAGAAATACAACTGCATGGGTAAAAAAAACTAAATGGACTTACTGGAGAGCAAGTTCACATAGCATATTTATGTAGAACACAGAGGCATTCACAGAATTTATACCCACACTTGAATGAATATATATATATATATACACATCAATTGCCAAGTTGGAAACTGGAGGGTACCACAACAGGCTTCCAACAATCTCATGAGGAGTAGAAAATCTGGCTGGTTTTGACTTCTCTGATTCTATCAGGCTAGCCAGCAAGAGAAAACACAGCAGCAAGGTGTTACGGTGCTCCTCTTTTTCCCGCAAACTTTTGAAACTGATGAATGCCTCACACATTCTCTAATGCCTACCTGCACCGTTCACACATTTTCCCTTGTAGCTACATAATTACTTGCTTAGACTCACTGACCAATAGTCCGATTCTTTTTGACATTACATTGGGAATGGCAAATTGATTTATGTTGACTGATTTATGATTTTCACTTATAAGTGAAAGAAAGGTTAAATATGATGGCAGATGTCCAGCGTATTTTAAATTGGATAGAAAAGGGTCTGGTTAGCTTTTTTTCTGCATGAAAAATAGCATTTGGATTGAAAACTTGATTACCAAGTTTCTGACTAATGGAGTCAAAAATAAACATTAACTCTGAACATCAAAGTTTAGAACAGAAATAATTATAGGTGTTCAATCTACTACACCATTTCACATGGACATTTTTAGTTGTCTTTGCTCCTTCGTGCATTATGGATTGAGCATAGGACAGTGGCACCTGAATCAATATGTAACAAATTTCAAATGTGTATTGGGCTCTTGAACACATTTTGTAGAGAAATGGGCCATATCTTTTAAATAAAATGTTTCATGTAATCATGAGCCATAACAACAAAAGAGGTCTAGATGTCACAGAAAACTGAAAAGGATCACATTAAATAATCATTCTATGATTATGATCGATTTTAGGGAGTGGTATTGGTTTAATTCACAATATATTTTTAGCTCCTAATAATTTTGTCCATGTTCACATATATTTGTCTTTTTACCCGTTACAGCTGAATAATTTACAATTAATATTTTATTCTTTGATTTTAGCCATAAGCAATATTGTGAATGCCAGGATTTTTTTTAAATATTTTTTCAATTTTTTTACTCTATGGATTTATCACAAATATTGATGTTCAAGCAGCATTGCTTAGCTGTTTTTGGTAAGATATATTATATAGTATTTCCATTTTCTGATTGGATGAGCATGCAAGAACTTTCGTTGTGAATGTCAGTGAGAGCAAATTTAAAATTCAGTTTATGCAAAGACTGAACCTCTAACTTGGAGATTACTGGGACAAATATTCATACAAAGAATATGCCAATCAATTGTCAGACTCCTGATAGAAACCAAATGCAAAAGGAGTGCAAAAACATGGCCCCAATAACTTAATGTAAAGAGTTGAATCAATATTCACAGAAATAATTTACATTTTTCACCACCTCTTGTACATGTTGCACTAGAAAAATACAAGTGGCTAACAGAGGTATAAGCATAGAAATGGGACTTAATAAATATGAGCGAAAAGTTCAAACCTACAGACAATGCAACAGGTTAGAAGTGACAAGTGAAAGGGACAAAATGATCTAATGGGATTTCTGATTTTGAACTGAAAAGCAGGAAAGCACAAATTGCAGACAGCTTTAATTAATTGTGTGTGAACACAGTGCTCATAAGAAGTTCCAGGTTGCACTCTTGAAACTCACGTCCACTATATTTTCACTGAACAGGTAGAGGATGGACAGTAGCAGCAATAGCTTCCCACTTGCTGCCTTGCCAAAAGGCCTCAATCCTGACTTAGGGGGCCTGACTCTTTGGCACGTTGAATCCATAGTCTCTCCCCTGAGACTTTCAACCTCTGTGCACTTAAAGCAGCTGTTTTTCACCCAGACATCCCAAAGTGTGTTACAAAAGGCTAGTAAACATGATAACCTTTATTTATTTATTTATTTATTTATTTTTGAACATGAGGTAATGGAGCTCATGACTTGCTCAGGGTCTCACAGGTGGTAAATGGTAAGAGTTGCCTTGGAAAGAGAACCCGGGTATTTTTATTTTTGGTTTCACATCAAGTTCTCTAAACTACAGCTGCTTGTTTGGGCCAAGTAGAGTGGTGATTTGGTGATAAGCACACTTGTCCGCTGGGAAAGAGACCAAACCGAGTTAGCTGCAATAGGACTATTACTTCATCTGCTCACTAGGATGCTGCTACCATCCTTATGCCAATGAGTCACAAATCGTTATTTCCACACTTGTCGTGTCTCAGCTCAATCTCTGAATCCTCATCCATAAAGTCTCATCTTCAATTTAAATGTAGCAATGCCAAAAATGAACACCTTCGATGTCCTCTCAGACATCCCCCTCTCCTATCCTGGACACTGTTGACACCACTACCATCCATTTCTTCATGCAGGCACAACATCTGAGCTTCATGTTTGACCCCTTCCTCTCCTTTGCCTCACCCATTCAGCCAGTATCCAAATTCTTCTTCCTCTAGAACATGTTCAAAATCAAACCTTTTGGTATTATTCACACAGCTTTTGTTGTTGTTGAGCTCTTACCACCTGCCATCCTCAAGACTGCAACTTCCTCCTCTCCAATGTCCTTGACATACACAGCACCCCCTACATCCATTCAACAGCAGATGCTAAAGGAATCTTTCCAGCCTGGTATCCTCCTCCATTTTTGAATTCCTCCACTGGCTCCTGCTTTCTACCATATCACATTCAAGATTGTTGTCCTCTTCTTCCAGGCCCTTCACAGTTCTGTTCTCTCGGTTTATCCACTTGTCTCCTATTACATTACTTGGCTGCCCCTCCACTCTGCCAGGA